ACACTTTCTTTGAAAAAATAAATTCTAAACTAAAGCCAGTGTGAATTGCCTTTCTAAAAGGTTGAACATTCTGTTTCCATTCATAAGGGGCTACTTTATTAATTTGTTTTACTTTATCAATTTACACTCTTCTCAAACCTAACATTATAAAATGAGCTTCAGGTTTCAATTCTCCATTTTCTTCACAAATGTGATGAATTCGATATATATTTAAAAAAAACAAAGTTTCCTCAAATAAGGTTTGACCTTCTAGTTGAATAAAATTATTATTATACAATATTTCATTCCCTTTGTATCTCTCTTCTGTTTTAACATATTCTTTCATATCTATCCATGCTTTCAGAAGATTCTGATAAAAGGAAGGTAACATAAGTTTCACTGTATCTCTCCAATAATTGCAATAAAATATTAAATTACCTCCTATCGGTCTCATTAAATATTTAAAGTATTGTTTCCATTTGATATCATGAGTTCCTGTTACAAGCCTTTTTATCCACATTATCCTTTGTGCTTTTACAAACAACCTAAAATTCATCATTTTGAGCCCACCCTGCTGATAGTCTAACATCATTGTACTTCTTTTAATTTTATCTTTACCTCTCCACAAAAAAATCAAAACATATTACTTCCATTTCTTTGTATACCCACTCTGGAACTGGCATTAGTGATGTTACATATTTTTGTCAATTTAGAGTATCCATATACTTTCATCAATTGAATTTTACCCATTAAAGTTAGGTCACGCTGTTTCCACCACGTCAGTAGTTTTTTAATTTTGCTCAATATTTCCTTATAATTCATTTTTTCCTTGATATCTACATGAACTGAAAAATAAACACCTAATATTTTAACAGCATCTACAAGTTTCCCAAACGGAAATGTATTATTAAACACCTGTGGCCCCAGGGGCAGAATATATGTCTTATCCTTGTTTAACTTTAATCCTGATATTTTATAAAAACCTTCTAAAACGTGTTCTATTTCCTTAACTGAACTCATATCTTTGATGAAGAGTGTTATATCATCAGCATATAATACTTGCTTTATTTCTGTATTTCCAAAACAAATTCCTTTTACCAATTGATTATTTCTAATCATATGAGCTAAAATTTCAATGCATAAAATGAACAGGTATGGAGATAATGGGTCTCCTTGTCTAATTCCTCTTTCAACTTTAAAATAACCTGTTGATGCGTTTCCATTCATAACACAACTTTCAGTATTAGTATAAAGTATATTCACCCATTTACAAAACAATGGTCCAAACCCAAATGAATTTAAGACTTTGTATAGAAAACAATGAGAAACAGAGTCGAATGCCTTTTCAAAATCTAAGGCCATCAAAAAAGCATTTTCCTTATAAAAAGAAGTATGAAAAATCATGTCATCTATTATTCTTATGGCTTCTCCAATGTTTCTATTCTTAACATAGCCAAGTTAATCAGAAGATACAATATCAGGTAAAATTTCTTGCAATCTCTTTGAAAGTATCTTTGTTAAAATTTTATAATCCACATTTAAAAGAGAAATCGGTCTGTAATTCTTAATAAAGTCTGAATCTTTATCTTTTTTATGTATCAAGGTGATAACTGCTTGTCTCTGAGAGGCTGATAGTTCTCCATGATTAAAGGCTTCATTAAAAGATGCAAGGATTAGATCTCCAATTACCGGCCAAAATTTAAGATAAAACTCTACACTTAAGCCATCATTTCCTGGTGATTTATTTAATTTCATATTTTTTAATATTTCTATACATTCCCTTTCTACTATCTTTTCTTCACCTAAACCCCTTAAGGTCTCGTTCAATTTTGGCATGTTACTAGGGAAAAATTCTAAACCTCCATCTAGTACAACTTTTATTTTTTTTTATACAACTGACTGTAAAACTGTTTTATTCCCTCGACAATTTCTTTTTCCTTAGTTACAATCTTTCCGTTTACGTTTAATTTCTGTATTACACTTTTCTTTCTATTTGCTTCCATGAGCTGTTTAAAAAATGCTGTATTCTTCTCTCCACATTCATACCAAGAAGCCCTTGATCGTATTTTTAAACCTTCATTAATATAGTCATAAAATACTCTTAGTTGTTGTTTCTTAATTTTCAGTTGTTCAAGGATATCTTTATAATGTACATTATTGATTGATAGTAAATTCTCTTCCAAGTCTTCAATTTCTTTTTCTGGCTTTTCTATTTTTTCCTTCCTTTGCCTTGCCTTTTCTTTGAAAATTTAGTTGTAAACCTGCGTATTTCCATTTTGATATAGTCCCATAATACTCTCTTGTCTTTTATCTCAGATAACATTTTGTTCTTTAAAGTCTGTATTTCTTCCTTCATCTTTAAAACATAGTCTCTATCATTTACCAAGCTATTATTGAACTTCCAATAACCCCTTTTACCCTGAAATTGTCCAGACGTTCTATCATGCAGAACCAAATTAACAGCTGAATGGTCGGGTGCTAAGGAGGGAATAATGTCACATTTGGATGTTATCTGTTCTAAATTCTCTGATATAATGAAATAATCCAAACGGCTTTGCATAAATGGATTCCCTTGTCTATAAGTATATTGTTTTTTATCTTTATTTTTATTTCTCCATACATCTCTTAATTTAAATTCATCCATGAATTCTTCTAATTTGCTACTGAATTTTGATTGCTTCTTTGTAACTTGTCCAAAATAATCTAAGTTCTTGTCTCTAATAACATTAAAATCACCTCCAAGAACTACTTGGTTCCCTTCTGAATTGTTTCTATACAACAACTCCCTTAAATCCATTAAACATTTTATTTGCTCCCCTTCGTTATTTCCAGTAGGAAAATAAACATTTCCTAGCAACATCTTCTGACCTTGTTTATTACTTTTAATCAATAAATATCTTCCATTTATGTCTGCACAAGTGTCACTAATTTCAATGTCTAACTTACTATTTATTAATACCAAAACTCCTCTACTGTGGCTTGTACCATGACTAAAGATACATTTCCCGCCCCACTCCAATTGCCATTTCTTTTCGATATCAGGTGTACTGTATGTTTCTTGTAAGTATATTATATCTATAGACTTTGTCCTAAACCAATTAAACATTTTTTCTCGTTTGCTTCTATCTCTAATTCCCCTCACGTTTAGTGTGAGATAGTTACATGAAAACAAGTTCCCTTTATTATCCATCTTTTTGTTGTTGAAATAAACCCGTATCTATATATGAGCTGGGACCCTCTATAAATTCCGACCTTGCAGATAAAGGGATCATCTCTTGGCAAATTAATATTTTTAATGAAACAACTTCACGACCCTCTCCCCTACCAGAAAGGAAACTAAGAAAGAAAAAGAATATGTATAAATACCTGAGACTACTACAAATATTCGAGAACCCACATTTGAAAAACAAAAAAAGAAAAGGAAAGAAAAGGAAAAGAACACAAGGAAACATAAGATGACTACATGAAACAGACAAATAACAGAGTTCGCGTGGTGAATCATACATAATGATTAGCCAGACTGCCTTTGCAAACGTTGCATGGCAGTCCCCTCCCCCTCTCCCCTCTCCCCTAATTTAGCTTTCCTACTTATTTGTCATAAATAATAATAAATAATTACAGTGCTTATATAGCGCCTAACACTTACTTTGTCAGAAGTCTCTAAGCGCTCTACAATAATGCAACATAATTACCCTGGCTTTAGCAGTGCAGCTGTTACGCGCCTGCAATTGAAAATTATGCACTGTCTGACCTTTGTTTCTACATTTCCTTGTTAAAAAAAAATAAAAAAAATATCTTCCTGCAAATCTACTACATCATGGTCTTTTTCCATGTAAAGGTTAATCAAAAAAAAAAAAAAAAAGGATAAACCATCCTCTATGCTATCTCCATCTCAATTCAAAACTTTTCTATCCTGCCTTCATTGTATAACGCTTACAATTCAAGACTATGCCATATCTCCCCTTCTTTCTACCTTCAACAGTTCTCAAAACAAATACATTACGTGATAATGCACGCGCCTGCAGGGCAGCTGCGTTATCGCACTGGAACTGCCCTAACAAACGAGCGAAACAGTGTATTATTTGTTTTATAAGACGGGTTAGCAATTCATTCTTAGAATAAAGTCTACATCTAGAGTATAGATAGATATTAGATCTAGATCTAAGTTTAGATCTCACTAGATCTAGGTCTAGAATATTTTAACTTTAGATCTAGATATATCAGGTTACTCTGCAAAAGTAACAGATTGAATTACGCGAAAGCGACATCGGCAGGTATTGAGTGTCTTATCAAATTTTGATGGGAGCTTTTTTTTGCACGGTGGGAAAAACTAACACACGCCCACGTGATGTCACCAATCGGATTGCTTAGATTCCAAAACCCGTCTTATAAAAGGAAATAATCATCATGATAATTAATTAAGGCCGTTAACGAGCGTAATAATGTAAGTAAGTACTTCCTGTAAAATAATAACGACGCTAATAGGCCTATTTGTTATAATATAGACATGCACTTTAGATTTTTTTTTTTAAATATGAGAATAAGTCTTATTTAAACAATTCAATTTATTTCTCCACAAATTAATGCCAAACATAGAAAAATACATTAAAAAAAATACATATATACGATACAAAAATAAAACATGTACAGCACATATAAAGCGACTCCATATGGTACAATGCATGTTTAAAAAGAAAAACAAATCAGCAAATGTAGAAGGGGTAGTCAAAAATCAAAAATACCCCCAATAATAAAAGAAGATTATACAATTAAAAGTAAATAAAAGGTCAAATGATGAGGTGGTACTAATATGTGAAAGACAAGCGAGAAAATATCAACAGCAAAACCTTTTGAAGATTAGAGGAGAAATAACACAGCAACAGGTATTTGACACAACGTTCATGGTGATCAGGTAAAATTTACATTCTTTAACGCTTTCTGCTGATAAAACAAAAAATGACAACAATAACAGAAACTTAACCTTATTCTCGGTATTACGGCGGTCCTCGTCTATAACACCCTCCCGCATAAAGTACGTAGAGGCATAATCAACACGGCTCAGATTACGTGTTTGTAGATTGTAGTGTGTGCGGAGAGCGAGACGGCAAATTTAGACTTTAATACAATGATCTCTGGACCCGATAGTCATTGATAGTGGTGGCCGGGAAATCAAACTGATAATATAGATTCTTCTCTTGGCATTCTGAATCTTCTCTCTGGAAATTATTTATGGACTTTACCTTGAATTCAGCGGTGAAATAGGTAAGTTTGATTGTTTTACTTTCGGGGTATGGTGATCAAATGTGTAATCATTGTTTAATACGATCGTTGAGCTATTGATAATCGTTTCACGATAATTATGATAACGTTACAAATAGGTCTAACAATATGAGAGATTGGGAAACGTCTTATACATTGTTATGCATGCAATTTGTTACTAGTTGCGCTTTATACCCAATATTATGTTTGTAAAAACAACTGTAAATTAATTCTATCATGCACAGTACAATTAATTAAGTGAAAAGATGCGTAAAAGTTTTAGTGAAAGAAGTGAATGCGTATAGAAAAGATTAATTCTTCTCCATTGCTCTTCTTTTACATGTTGATGGTTGAAAAAATTCTATCCTGTCAGTTAATTCATCGGGATTATTCCAAACCAGCCGTTCTGGCTGTTTTAATATTGTACCACTCCGAGTATACATACAGTTATATCTCTTTTTAATACAAAGGTATTCATCGCTCTTTTATTTCGGTGTCCGAGAAAATAGCATCGTAATGATTCTGACAAAATTTGCTATTTTCTTAAGCTGGCACGAACCAGCAACATACATTACACCACTTTCCTTGATAAACATTCAACACCAAGTTTTTAGATTGGGCTGTTTGTCGAATGTAGGTCTAGTTCTAGGTATTACGTCCATCACAAATAAGCCACAGTAGTCACGTACATAAATGGTTGTATAAAATTGACTTCCCTAAACTAGCTCAATGAATCGTTATATTGTGACCTTTGACTTGATTCGGAGAAATAATACCACTTGAGAACTGACGTCATAATACTGATGATTCATACAGTCAATATAATTATAACACGATAACAAGCGTACACGTACTTTATGATGAATGTTTAAGAGATCTGTATGTAGAATAACACATTGTTGTACTCCTATGCCATTTACAATGAACTGCAAAACAGTATATCTTAAACGTATTGTTAGAGCTAACTATATTTTCCATGGTTATACCTGTTTATATGTGTTTTAAGTTTTGTTCATTGCGTGTAAGTGTAAGTATTTCTTTTGTTAGTAAGACGTACATAACTAACTGAAATTTGAACATATTAATTCTACTGTATAAGCTGCTAAGGAAGATCTATGAGAGAACGGAAGCACTGTCAGGTTATAAAGTTGATTCTAATAACATGATCTCTGACAAGCACAAATACACAAAGGTACAAGAAGAATCTAAGTCACAATTTTTACAAAAACCAATGAAAAAGTTAATACGTATAATTATATCTATTCAGTCGTAATCATTGGACTTTTGATCAAACAAACAAACATAAAAACACAATCTTGTACTAAATGTCAGTTATGTTTAAACTAGCATATCTATAGTTCCTGTTTTATTTGTGCTCATAATTTCTCGATGTTGCAGTGATATCATCAGTTCAGGATCTGCTCAAGGAATCGTCCGACGAGGACCTACTATGGTGTACACGACTCTGCTAATCGCCGGAGTAGCCTATATCTTCCTCGCATTGTAAGTTGGACACTTTAAAGATTCAAACAAAATCATAAATGAAGCAAGAATGCATACATGTATAATTATGACTGAAGAAAAATATTTTTATACATATGGAGATTTAAAAAAAGAAGAAGTAGGCAGCAGTTACCACAGTTATATTGTACACCGGTGGCGGATCGTGTGAGGGGTATCAACATTTAAAGGGATCCGATAACTTTGTCTCAGATTCTAAAACAAAATCCTGCAAACAAAATCCTGCTCATGCAGCAATGATAATTATAAACCTTTAGCTCAGTCAGGAACCCCATGACTTTTACAAGCTGATCTTCTGTCTGATTATCAAGATATTTATGAGTGGAAATCGAAACCAAATTTTGCGTTTTCCTAACGGTTTTCATAACTCTACAGTCTATTGTGGAAAACGAGTGGCGTAAAACCGGTCACTCAAAGATTTTTTACTTTTTGAGGCACTTCTTGATCATTTTGAATCGCGATTTCTTTTTTATAGGGCTTCAATATTACACCATATCACAGACACTGATAACACGTAGGGCCGTGCATCTCAGATTTAACATCGTTAAACGATGCCTTTAAAGATACTATGTATTATTTGCAGCCAACATCAAATTCTGTAGAACTTTGAAGGAATTATGAATATGCCATGTATGCCCTATCTGTGAAATTTAAACGTTAGCAGTGTCCTAATATTCAAATTATGCAAGGAAACCCGTTTACTTGCTAGACTTCACTGTCAGACACTATTGAGTGACTGGCTGGCTTCTTTGCTTCTTTGGTAATAACATACATACAATGAGCTGTAAAGGGTACATGAGCATTTGTCTACATCAATAGCCCACTTCTTGTTATGGTCAAAATTAATCTGATTTAATCTTTGCGCAGCATAAAACATACGATCATTCGGTACAATGGTCTACAAATCAGACTATTACTTACTGGCTCTATAGCTCTTAAGTCGATTCAACAGCTAATAGTCGTTATTTGTCTACTTAAAGACATTTTCAAGCCTCCTTTTTGTTAGGGAAGTTCTAAATTAGTATTATCTTTCAAATGCCGTTGGAATTTAACCTTTTCATTTTTTTGGCCTCCAAATGGGACATAGTACCTTTAAAAGAAATCCAACCTAATGAAAGCAGAAAATATAGTGAAACAAGGTGGCGAGAGTTTTCAATAGTTTGGTCCAATAATAAGGGGAGTTTTTAATGTTTGAAATATGAGATCACTAAGTCTATTCGAATCTCAAATTGGCAATTTGGTCAATGGATTGTGACGTAGTCACAGACAACTCTCCCGTTTGCCGCGTACAACAATTTATTAATGGCTGTTTTCTCCTTAGTGGTTTGGCTGTGGAGTATTACTCAAATTCATTGGTCTTCTAAACAATAAAATACCCTCTCCTGAGTCTTATATTTTATAATGTGAAGATAATTTTTGTCATTTTATGTGTTAAAACAAATCAAAAAAGTTGTCCAGCAGACCGGCACTTGTCACAGTGACAGTACCGATCAAGCCAATTTGAAGTACTGAAGCGTTTGGTGATCATGGTGATTACAACTTTCAAAAAGTCATACATTTTTTTTCTTCCCGATTTCATTAAAACTTTTACTTGTCTGCTTCCCTGATGTTTCTGCTTTCTTTTAGCGTAGTTGTCTAGTAAGGTTGGAAACTCTTTTAATTACTCTTATTTTAATTCCTCCCTGATCTGAGTTAATTCTAAAACAAACACATAAATGCCTGAGACTGAGTTACTCTGGTCATGGACTACTACATGCCTACATACGTATTCGAAACAGAAAAGATTCTCATTGATTCACTCCAGCTGTAGCATTACCTATATTTCCTGTTTCATGGCATTGATACAATCTAACCCGGAAATTTACAAAAGAACAGAAGGGAAGTTCAGTTTCCTGATTTGGGCCAAATCTGCGAAGGGAATTTATTTTCATAACTGATTATGTTTGTGTGAATATGGCCAGTGTTTTCACCAAGACTACTTCATAATAAACTTCAATTTTCGTGATCTCCTCTCTTTAGAAAGATAGTTTCCAAATTCATTCAGTTATTGACTCTTGGGGGCAAGACCCAAACCCGAAGAAGACAAAAAGTAATTTGTATTTGGTGTTAAAGGTACTATGTCCCTTTTGCAGCCAACCTCAAATTCTGTAGAACTTTGCAGGAATTATGAATATGTCATGTATGTCCTATCTGTGAAATGTAAACGTTAGCAGTGTCCTAATATTCAAATTTTGCAAGGAAACCTGTTTACTTGCTAGACTTGCTAGACACTGTCAGACACTATTGAGTGAGTGACTAGCTTTTTCTTCTTTGGTAACATACATAAAATGAGCTGTAAAGGGTACATGAGCATTTGTCTACATCAATAACCCACTTCTTGTGATGGCCCAAATTGAACTGATTGAATCTTTGCGCAGCATAAAACGTATGACCATTCGGTACAATGGTCTGAAAATCGAGACTATTACTTTTTGGCTCTATAGCTCCTAAGTCGATTTGACAACTAATAGTCATTATTTTCCCACTTGAAGAAATTTTCGAGCCCCACCTTTTTTAGGGAAGTTCTAAATTAGTATTATCTTTCAAATGCCGTTGGAATTTAACCTTTTCATTTTTTAGGCCTGCAAATGGGACATAGTACCTTTAAATACAAATGATAGATAGCTAATATCTTGTTTGATTTCCCAATGCCATACAGAGGACATTTACCGTGTCTAGGTAAAAGTTCATTATATTTATGATCACAGTACTCTACTAACAAGTGCAGTGCACAATGGTGAAACAAAGATATAATATTGAAGCCTTGTTTATCATACCTAAACGATACAAGCCTCTGAATATCACAAACGTTATATCGGACTTGCCCTTTATCTGGCTGCTGTAAATACAATTCTTAGAGAAAGCCCCATGGGACGTACGGATTCTAGTAACATCCTAAGGACACAAGCGCATTTGACTTTGTACACCGGTTTCTCTATTAACAAAAATATGACTCACTGAGTCATTCTAGTTCATTCAAGATATTATATACATGTACCCACATATTTATTTCTATATTTGTAATACATGTATGCATATATGCATTTAAAATATTCTGGCTCCCCTCTCTCTCTCTCTCTCTTCCGCTTCCACCCCTCCTTCCGCTCTCCATGCTTCTCTCTCTCTCTCTCTCTCTCTTTTTTTCTCTCTCTCTACATATGTGATCAGGGCAGTGTAACATAACAAGTCGGAATTTAAATGTATCGCCCCAAAATTAACTGTACCCCTTTTAATCAACTACTATAGTATATAAGTTTATCCGTGTTTAATAGCGAGCCGTGTAATGAATAGGAAACATCAAACATAAAAGTTATTGAGAGAAAGTTACATTTAAATCAATTAATCATTACTTTTCCATGCATTTGAGCACATCACTAGGGATATGTGTCCTTTTGTTATCCTTCTAACTTGTCTTGAAACACTTTTTTTTTGTAAAGGCAAGCGGTCGACGCTCAAATCCATAATGTCTCGGCTGGTTCGGGAACAATCCAATCTCCAAACTTTCCACGCTGGTACCCTAATCTAGAGCTGATCGAATGGAGGATACAGAGTCCACCAAACACACACATCCGGCTCCGCTTCCTACTTTTCAAATTGGAAGAAAGTGACGACTGTGTGTAAGTGTTTTGATTTTGGTTTATGGCTCACTTACTTTTAAAAGGTATAATGGTGTTACAGGCATGTTTGTGTGTGGGAGAGTAAAAGGTGAAGGGGGGGGGGGGGTCCCGTTGGCGGATTATGCTTCACCTAACTTATGTTTGGTAGAAGCGCCATAAATAATGTCGGTACATGTAGTATAATTAAATTATCTTTTAAAAGTACTTTGGCAAGTTTAAGAGATTTTTCATATCTTTAGTTAAATATCAATGTTCAGTCTCAGTCCATGACTTAGTTCACATGTACATGTATGCCAAGTGCTTTGTAAATACATCAAATTTACCTTCTCGTCCAAAATATTGATGCAACTATGATAGCCTTTAATTCCCCCACAGTGCAGATGCATTGTTTGTTTACGACGGAATTGGTGACAGCGGGTCACCGTTCTTAGGCCGTTTTTGTGGAAGTGGGCTTCCACCGATGTTGGAGTCCAGTTCCTCGTTGATGACTGTACGATTTGTGTCAGATTTTCAAGAACAATATGACGGATTCGTTCTCACGTATGAGGTCGGTAAGTAAGAGGATATTAACAGTTTTTATCATTTTAAATATCTAAAGATTTTACAAATCCATTTTAGAATTGTGTATAGGCCCTCATCTACTGTCATCAGTTCATATTGGCATGGCAGATAATCGATACAATCTTTGACGATGCTAGTTCTGTCCATTATAGTTCTTGTCGGTATGACTGGGCTCATCTTGGGCCTCGTGTCCTGGGATGTTCATTCTGAAGGTGTGACATAGAGCTGTTCCAGGAATTTACCATGAGCCCCCTCTTTGCTGAAAGCTAGATTTTACAGAATCACCCCCACCCATTCGACCCGAAAAGAAGAAAATGCATTGGTAAATATCCCTTACTGAATAATGATCAAACTGCCAATGATTTCGGATATTGCGGTGAAATGCCCAATTGCCCATTGGAGTTTAAATATTTTTGCTGTCTGGAACTTCCATTTAGATTACATATGTCTATATTCTTTGTAATAGCCCTACTCTTTTCATACTCCACAAATCTGCGTAGTCGTATTGATAGGCACCTTAATGTCCTCTCCCCCATTCAGTGGACGATATACTCGGATCACGGATAGTATGGACGGAAGTACATCCGGACACCGAGATGGTCCGGTTATCCAGTCTCGGTGCTGATCCGCTCAACATGATTACACCCGAAGGAACTCTCCAATCGACAATCACCACCGAGTTCCACTATCGAGTGTCCCGGGGGTCCTGGGGTGCAGTGGCCATCAACTATGGCCAACAGCACATCTTCTGGAGCGACCGAGGGCTGAAAAGAATCATTGCTGGTGAGTACGTAATTTATTTCCAGAGAGAAACATGCATACATTGATCAACAATAATAAATAGGTTTATTGCAAAAGCAAAGAAAATTGCTTTTGAAAGAAGATAATAATTCTTTCCGATTGCTGCTCAGGGACAATTGGAGAAAATTCTCGGGCTCGGGCGTTTTTCGAAGGCACCTCCGATTCCGTCAATGGAATCGCCGTCGACTGGCTGACGGGTAACGTATACTGGACCGATGCTGTATATGACTGGATCCTGTTACATAGTTCGGATGGATCTCGGTACGATATCGTGGTCGATGAGGGACTAGATCAACCAGGAGGCATAGCGGTCCATCCTATCAGAAGGTTGGTAAAGAGCATTCAAATATCGTAGGTCTAGACATCAAGTGGGGAAGCAGCATCAAATGGGCGAAAGCACGAATTTACTCGATGTATGAATGGCAAATTGATAAGGCAGTCAGCTAGGGGGAGAGTGTGGGAGGGAGGGTCATAATATCTTTTCACATGCTTTTGCCCCTCTCCCATTATTTTCCATTTCCTTGTCTTTTTTTTTCTCCATTTAATTTCTTTTCCTTTTTCTTTCTGTTTTCCATCGAAGGGATAAGTGCCCCTTACCCTACTTCAGGCTACGCCACAGGAAGAACAAATATATTCATTTTTAAAAACTCAATTCGTCATCTGTCACCTTCTACATAGCCAAACTGGTACCATTTTGATCATTCCCCCAACAAATTATTCATAAAAAACAGTAACTGAAAGACATGGAAATCACATTCGCCATTTGTTATGTGCTTTTTTAAAGTTAATTTTTAAACAATTTGTTAATTGTTAAAGGTATTATAATCATCCTTTCTTTTTCTTTGATAAGCCTCCTATTCTGGACGGATGCTGGAGACGAACCTAAAGTTGAGCGCAGTGATCTTGCCGGTGGTAATCGAATAAAACTGGCCACTACCGACGTGGTCACTCCACGCGGAATCACAGTGGATTACGACACTGACCTGTAAGTTGGATTCTCCGACGTTATTAACAAGATTACATGTCTGTGTGTTAGGGTTTGGCATCGCCCTCTCAAAGTAATGTGTGTGGCGATGAACATGAAGTTGATCTTATTTAAAGTACTAAGATTCATACTCATGCAACGGGATCGTCAATGATTATGACCTATAAAACATGTTATAAATGAGTTATTCTAATTAGGTATATGAGACAATCATGTCACAAAGTAATGTATGTTTCTGTGAATGTCTACCTCGTACTTACTTCATAGAAATATCCTTTTCATAGTTATGTCCGAGTCGGTCACGATGGTTTATATGAATAATTTGATCAACTCCAAAATCATTAATAAAGTCCAAATTTTCAGCTTATTACTATTCAGAAAACAAATCGTCTGCTAATAGATCTTTCGTATAATTTTACAAAGAGTTAACGACCACTTTGTTCTAAAATGTATAACTATAAGACATGTTTTATTCGGAATACTAACATTTGGACTAGCATACAGTGGCGTATCCAGACAATTTTCTGAGGAGGGGAAAATATACTTACTGTGATCCGTCTATGTTCGATCAGGAATTCACTTTCCGAGGGCCTTGGGGAGGGGGTATCGCACAAATGACCGAGGAGTTAATAGGCTGACTTATTTTGTGAATTATTCTGTGCGTTATTGTTGTCCCATACCAAGTCCCTGATCTGCTAACTATTATGTTCTAAATAGTTGCTGCATTTCCTTTTCCTGGTCAGAAATATGTCCCTCCTGCAAATACGTTAGTAACTTCTACCAGAGCTTTTATTAAGTTTATTTGGATTATCGTGATGACGGAACCTCATGATCGATGCCGTTTATGACCACGGAGAACATGTGATGACATTATATTTAAAATTGCTCTCCCCCTTTACTGACATCTTTTAGAGTGTATTGGGTGGATTCCGATCCGTCTGGCAACCGTGTCGAGGTCTGTGATATCCTTGGTGAAAACAGACGACAACTGTACCGTACACCTGCCTACGAGGGTTTCTTCGATCTAACTATCTTTACGGTAAACGAGGAAACAATTCTTGAAATGATTTTGTTGTCATCTAGTAATGATAATGCACTCATACTTCAGTATAACACTGCAAAATGGATTTCCAACCGACTCCAAACTTACCCTTTTCGGGGCTACTCAGGCTCAGGATATTGCAATCATTTGTTTGATCCGATAGCGGTCTGGTGTAAGGGTTGGCCGGTGTAATTTGGGTATTTCGCCGATGAGGGCGACACAAGACCGACAATAACAAAAATTGCCATTTTCTCACATTACCCATATTGTGGTCATTGGTCATATTGGATTCGGTTCGAGGTGTGACTGAGATATTGTTCAAATAGTTTACATGCAGATCTGACCAGGGCCCCGTTTTATGCAAAGAGTTGCGATTGATCCTAATCAATCGCAAGTCCTCAATTCAATCGCAAGTTTGCAGTCTCCTACACTTCAAATTCGTCGTGTAACGAAGTTAAACAACAGTTGGGTGGTTCACTCCTTGCATAGGGGTTGCGTTAAGAAAAAAACCTTGTGTATTTTGTTTACACAACTTAACACAACCCCTATGTAAGGAGTGAACCACCCAACTGTTGTGTAAAGTCGTTACACAACGAATTTGCAGTGTATCTCTTATGTATATAGTTGCGATTGATATCAATCACAAATAAGTTGTTTGAAAGATAGATAGATAGATAGATAAAAGGTATTTATTGATTCATTTCCATGTATCGCAGTTACAAGTAACTGAATTGTGCATGAAAAAAAATTGATGGTGAAGACAATTATACATTGATATCAACTCTTAAAGACGGGGCACAGAATCGTATCTTATGAACATCACAAAGTTAATTCATCATTATGTTTCTCTTATTTGATTGTCAAGTGGATTTGGCGCCATACAAATCTTATGTATTATCATTATTATTATTTTCTGTTTTTCACATAAATGAACTTATTACCGTGGTTCGGATTGCCCTTTAAGAAGTAAAGCTGCGACAAGCCATCACGAAAAGAACCAAAGAAGTACGAATACCATTTGTGTAAATGTCAGGGTTGTAAGTTTGGCACTGTTTCTGGCTTTCAGTGGTATGGGCCACTAATTATGTAAAACTTTGTACCTCATTACTTTATTATTACGCATCTTTTAATATACCTCTAAGTTAATTGCCTTCTTGACAGTATTAGATTCGTATATACGTTACTTGAGAACAGCTGTTTTTCAATTAAAAAGGCGAATCTACTCACGGATGCAGAGTGAGGATAGGACGGTTAGAAAAACAGAATCTTTTTACTGAGTGATAAGAGAGTATTGACGGTAATGGTGCGATGTTATGTGTTATATTAGAAATTCTACGATTTCAAAGTGAGATTCTTTTTTTAGAAACAATTTTAAGTGATAGCCAAATAACTTTTAACAAAAGTGCTAAAAAGGACAATCATGATTTTGAAAATTGTTGAGTTCTGCTATGCTGTAACTGGCATGTTACAGGATTCCTTTATAAGACACTGAATATTTGAATATTTACACCTCTAACTGGCCTTTTATTGTAGAACTTTATATACGTTACTGGAGAAAATACGAGCACCCTACACTTGTTGAAGAAGGACACTGGCCAGTTTGTTTTCAGCCTTAATCTTCCAAACAGACCTTATGGCATCGTCACTTTCGCTCCCGATACACAACCACCAGCAGTGTGTAAGTCATCTATCGAACAAAACATTTTATGAGCTCATAATAGGTAATTTAGAAAAGAAACAAAGAAAGACACAAACAAATATACAAACAGACAGACGTGTTGGTCTGCGTCATAATAACTGTAGATCTGAAAACGTATCAGATTTTGGCACTCTCGACAGATTTCCCTTATCAAAGTGAAGATTGTTAACGTTCAGGACCTATAAGTAACGTGATAGATTTTTGTTTTGCACACTACTACTTGGCCACAATACTACTTGTAGATACAATGTAGTGTTCAATATTGGGATTTAGATTGCTTATGATCAAACAGATCAAACCATTGTTTACTGAATTCCAGTGTTAAATAGATAAAGAAATTCGAAACGGTGTTATTACACACCTTGCGAAACGATCTTGTAAGACTTACATGTCTTTTACTGAGTTTCACATTCATATAGGTCGCTGCTCACATCTGTATTATCAACACCCTGAGGACTATCAAGTCACATTAACCAGGACTTAATGCTTTAGAATATATTAGAGACAGTCTTGACCACTTCTTAATTTCAGTTTTTACCGCGGTTGAGTAAGTGCATTACGGATATCACTATTTGCCAAGATTTCAGTTGCCATGTCTTGTATTATCTATTTTCCTGTAAAGCCCATTGTAGCAGTAACCCATGTAGCTACCTGTGTGTCGGTGGTGGGCCTAACGGATTCACGTGCCTCTGCGGAACTGGAAGACTCCTAGCTGCAGACGGAAGAACTTGCAGGGATGGTAGGAATTAATTTTACTATTTCATTTATACAAACAAAAGAGGGTACGGGTCTATTTAGAATGTCTGAATCCTAACCTGCAAATTATTAGTAACATTCATGTGAAACTTCATTTTTCCTTTTTGGTTAGACTGCGAGTTATCGTTAATCTAACCCAGACTAGAACGAAAGTATCGCCTACATGTCTTGCTTACACGTCACTTGGAAACAATTGCATGCAATACAAAATGAGTCGCGTATTATGTGCATCACATAATATGTAGTCCAAAGAAGATCTGTACACATAGGGATAAGTACATAGCTTTAGAAGTAAATATAACCGTGTAGAATTAATAAAGAAAAAGAGCGGTAGTTTTTTTTTTTTTAATCGTATGATAAATAAGTAGATTTTAATATTATCTTTTCGGGAATGGGTATATAATAGTATAATAAGGTATCAATGTTTTATGGACAGCGTTGAAGCAAAATACGAAGGAAGTCCTTCATGATAATGTTTGCAAATGGATCTTTCTTTTCCAGAAAGAGCCATCAGTCCACCCCTGCTCTTTGTTGCCTCTCGAACCAAGCTTTCCATGTACCCGAGTAATTTTCCCGACATTACCATCCCTGATGATTTCAACATCACGAACATGTTAGTAAACCGAAATCACGCCGTCGCGCTCGCCGTTGACCTCGAAGACGGCTTGGTGTTCTACAGCGATGTTGCATCAAAGGCCATCGGAATGGCGAGCTTGAGGGTGGGCTCGACTGTCCGCTACATCACGGGAGCGACCGGCTCAGTCGAAGGTAGCATTTTACTAAGACATATTTTTCTATGTTAATGATTACAGCTTTACTGTAAATAATAACTCTCTTCCGGTCATTATTTGTAAACCGGAGGCCATTTTGGACGCCATTCTTGTGGTGGCTTTTGCCCCTTGTAAGTAGTATGAATGGATTGCTCGACTTTCGAAACCAAGGTGATATACATTAGAATCATACCTCTAAGATGAACATATTTTAATGTATGGCTATTTTCAGGTATTGGCGGCCATATTTGACGCCATTTTGAAAATAACCAGTGAATTGTTCCTTATGTCAAAACCGTTCAAAAACTATTGTTGCAGTTATGCAATTTCGTTTTAGAGGGGGGCACGGGCCGGTGCATTCACGATTCGTAATGATGAAGTTAGCCCTTTGTCTCTATAGGCATGGCTGTTGACTGGTTGACGAAGCATCTATACTGGACAGATAATCCTCGTGGAACCATCGAAGTATCTCGCTACGACGGATCCTACAGGACAACTCTTCTTAAAGACAAGGTACTCAGACCACGAAGTATTGCCATCGATCCTGCCAAAAAGTAGGTTTCTTTCGTTTATAGTATTTTCACCGTTTTCTTTTGTAGCTAGCTATGAAGCAAGCAACTCCTTTTGTCTTTTACGACTTCGCCAGATAATGCTTTAAAATACTGGTGCTCATGCATGGAGAGGTCATAGGCTACTCAGCAAATAATTCAAACAAAATAGTGGTTCTTATACTCCCAATGGATTTCCACCTATTTTGTGACTATATTCTAACTAGATTAATGTCACATGAAGCATAAACTCATACCGATGCAAAAGCTAAGCGAGCAAGAATCCATGGCAAGGGAATGTCCACAGGAGGAGGCGTTAACTAGCTTGCTGAAATTAAAGATTGTGTTAAGCTTAGGTAACATACCATGATTAAACTCCAACCAGTGAAAGTTTTCTGTGATATATAAAAGTATTTCAAAATGCATTCGTGAAGGGTAATAACTTTGACTTGTCATACAAGTCTATTTTGAACAAAACAGTCAGTGTTTTTAGCCACTTTAAAGGTAACGAGTATCATGTATATCTTTTGCCCTTTCTTCCATTCTCTAGATCTCTGTTTTTATTAACATAAGTATGAATGATGTATATTTCTTAGGAAGGATTTGCTCGTATTAAACATATTCTCACACAAATATTACGTATTTATGTAAACTAAAATATTTGGAATATATCACCTTTTATTTGAAATGTTATGTCTTGATGTAGAGTCATGTTTTGGACAGAGTTTGGACCGCCTACTCAGATTGAACGAGCCTCTTTGGACGGTACAGGAAGGATGGAAATTATCGGTCCCACTCAAGGGGTAGGCCAAATGAGTGGTCTTGTCATTGACTACAAAGAAAAAAGGTTTGATTTTATTTCATTCGATATGTTTAGGGGCAAGTCAAGATTTTAGTTTGTCTGTTCACTGTCTTAAGAGCAGGGTATTTTACCGACATCGTTACCACTGCTCTAATGTATTTTTACTTGCGCCATCTTTCGGTAAAGGCGTTCATAGACTGATTTTTGGTTCCTTTATTCAAGCATCACCATGCGCGGGCCATGCAGTTGGTGATGCATTGTTGGACATGGCTGTCAAAACACCGGGTCATTGTGAGTAGCAGATGACAGTACACGTAAATCTTACAAGCCGTCAGTAGACTACCCTGCCTTCAAGTTTAATAGCGCTTCTTAGAGCTAATAAATAAAACAGACAATGAAGTGAAATGAAATCTGAATCTGAAATATGAATGGCATAAAGATAAAATTGCCTCCTCTCCCACAATATAATAAACATAGTGTAATAATTTAGTAATAACAAGATTGATAGATGCAACAAGGGGTGCTATGGCAGCAAGAAGATGCTTGTAAATAAGCAGTGAGCTGATATCATTTCCTGACATTCATCCTGCACAGATAAACGTCTGGGTAATGCCGTAATATATATTATTTTAAACGCATCGTGGGCAAGGGGGCAAGCAACTGCTCTGTTCTCAAATCATCCGGCTTAGGGATCGCAGCTCTCCTTTTGGAGACCACTAATATAAACGTCACAACAGTTATTGGGACTTGATTTGAAGAAAGGTACGGATGAGTTTTTCCTGGGGCTAACACTTCAAATGGTTTGATAAATGATGATCGCATTTGAAAACAACAAGAAATAACGATCCCTTTTATACCAGATTTTCTTTATTCCCTTTAAAATAACATGTAAAAAGACAACAACAACATATATATATATATATATATATATATGCATCTGCACAAAACAATATATACAATCTTTTACATTCTTCTATATGACTGCTTTCATAAAACACGATCGTCAAAATGTTGAGGATACAAATTATGAACATGGACAATTTTAATAATCTATAGTACTGCCTATAGACGTACGTTCAGATTGATTACGTAATAAAATTATATCACTGTCATGTTTGCATATATTTCAATAGGTTACCAACAAGACTATTGTATTTGCGTACGATTGATTTTTTGAAAGTCTTTTACGATTGTGTAATAAAGACATTCTTATATATGATTTTTTATATATTTGTTTACTTGCATCAATATATAGACTTTACTTTGCCGACATCGCTCGAGGGATTATCAGCAGTGTTGACTATGACGGTGGAGGAATTAGACAGGTCATTTCCAAACCAAACTCGTTATTTTTCGAGGTCACCCTTTACAAGGTATGAACAAAGCAACAACTACAACAACAAAAGAATCAATTTACAAGTCGAGTTAATAAGCGAGTTCGTAAATAGCTCTGGAACGCATGACCCCAAAATATCCACAGATCTTAGACACGATGGATACTTTCCACCTGTGCATTTTAGAATAATCACTGCCAAAGTGATGGAGGTGCTTCATGAATACCTCTTGTTTGCCTCTTGAGAAGAATACTTCCACCTGTGTATCAGACAAATGTACTGTTGGTGCATAAATGAATACTGATTACATAGCTTTCATGAACACGATCCGAGTATTCGTCTCAATGGTTTTACAATTTGGGTACGAATGACCTTTAACTGCCCATGCGCAAATCCTAATTACGAACTCGCTTATTCAGGCAGAACACATGAAAGGATAGCTGTTAAAATGGTTGCTAAAGGCCCGGTCCCACTTACGGATGCAAAGAGGATGTAAAACGTAAAAAAATCTTGCCATCCGTTGGAAAACGCTATGCATCCATTGTGTACTCATTGCATACGTGTTGCATACGCTCTATCCATCGAGCATCCGTCCACTGTGATTTCATCCGCGCAAAAAGTTTTGAGCTGCACAAAACTTTTAGAACGGATGAACTTCCGCCGTGTACGATGTAAATCCGCGACAAATACGAGCAACAAACGTTCTATGTCTGTTATCATCCGTTAAACGTCCGCTGTATCCTCCGTGCATCCTCTGGGCATCCTCGCAACTCACATCCGCTGCAGCTGAAAACTGAAAGAGGAAGTAAAGATAAGGTACATGGAACGTCTATACATCGTAAGCAGCACGGAAATAGAAAGGATGTAAGCGTATGCATCTCGTATATAAAGTATTCAAAGCTGTCATCCACTTCCATCCGCTTTCATCCGCTAGGCTTCCGATGAACATCCGTTTAACATCCCCGCTACATACTACCCACGTCCGTTATTTTCCGTTCCGTTTTGGCAAATTCTCGCAAATTTTGTCCATTTCTGGAGCAGATGAAAACGGATGGAGCCGCCCTCGAAATTTTGCTCGTCCGCTGTGTCCTCTATGCATACGTGTTGTGTCCATCGGCCAGTGGGACCGGGCCATAAGGATTTGATAGGACGTATCATGAAATGACACAATAAATGCAGACATAAAGAAATCATTAAAACGCTTAACAAATATATATATATATATATATATATATATATATATATATGCGTGTGTGTGTGTGTGTGTGTGTGTGTGTGTGTGTATTTAAATAGGGATGACGTGTAGACGATTGCAAAAACATAAAAATGCATGTCACTTTCCAGTGCATAAGACTTTAAATAGGTATTTGTATGTTGCTTGACAAGAACCCAAGAACAACAGTAGTCGAACTACATACGGAACTTCCCAATTAACTATAAATAAATAAGAGATAAATAAAATACAAAGAAAACATGAGATAATCTTGATACATGTGGCTGTTGAAAGAAAATAGACATAACTTATATATTTAATGAATGATAAGCAATGCGTGGCTGTTTTTTAATAAATATCCAGTGATAGTTATCAGTTACATAGAGGGGTTAACGTTTACAATATAAACATATATATCGTTTAGTCGTATTTTCTTGTAGGATTACATCATGTGGACTGAACTTGGACCGAACCAGGGAATATTCATAAGCAACAAGGAGACTGGTGAAGCAGTGAGAGCATTTCCAATGACAGAAGAGGTGTATGGTATCACCATGTATGCGGATACAAGGCAGAAAATAATTCACAGTAAGATCAAATCACTTCTTTCGATTCTCTTTCATTACTAAATACATTGTCACTGCCTTATGAAATGAAACCTCCTCATTAGGCAAAACATTGTTTTCATATAATTATGATCTAGTGATATCATTATACGGTACGTCGAATGTTTACGATGACACTAGTTTATTTCAAAGTTATCATGGTATACACGTTTTTATTCAGAAGTTGCAACGACTTTCAAATAATAATGGCATTTCAAAGCATGCAATTGGCTTGTATTACCCATGCTATACATTTTCAAAAATATTGTTAATTTTATTATCAGCAATACAGGTAATTGCATTGTTTAAAGAGGACGTGCGTGCGTGCCTTGTCGGGGATCGATTCGGACGACTTAGCATTCCCTGACAACAGTATGTTTGAAGCACTCGAATGCTAAATCACCAGAGCGACATTTAGATTAGTATTTCAGTTTCGGTAATAATAATAATAATAGTACTATTAGTGTTAATAACATGATTAATGAAAGGAAATCTGTTTTTAGATCCATGCAGATCTTACAATGGTGGATGTCAACAGCTATGTCTAAACTCTTACGAGCAGACGAATGGATATGTTTGCCACTGCTCAATGGGCTACTATTTAGCAGACAATGGCAGGGACTGTCACTCAGGTAAGTTGTATATTTTAAAATTCATGAATAATAATCAATATTCGGAAAGAAAAAATGAGTTGATCTTTCATCATACCCTCATCATTGTGCATTAATCAAAATGGACGTTTCACCACCATTTAGTTATCAATTTAGACAGGTTGTATTTTAAAGAGGATATCGGTGTTATATTATCTGGTATGCGAAACTTGGTTGTATAGAATTGCTCAATTCTCAGACCAATTTATGTCCTTTTCTCTCATTCAGATTTGGTAGATCATGATTTCCTCCTTGTAACGGACACGTATCATCGGGGTATCTACCAAGTTGATCTCTACTCAAACTTTAAACCGGAAGCACTACGATTGAATGGGGTCAAAAATCCCATCGGTATTAGCTTCGATCCCGTGGAAAGGATGGTGTACTGGACAGACGTCGAAAAGCGGGAAGTAAACCGCGCGTCTCTAGATGGTAGCCGACAAGACACTATAGCCATAGAAAACATCGGACGTAAGAAGGACAAATCGTCTACAGACTACAGAAAGCGAGGAGGGCGTTTACTAATATACTTTCATACAGAGTTAACGCCCTTCATGGTTTCAATGGATTTAGATTTGAATAATAATGCTAATTTACTGGCATTTACCTTTTCTTTTGTTTTTCTTTTTGTTACAGAGAAAGTACAGCAATGACAAAAATCTGGGAGAAAATGATTCGTTAAATGATCTTTCTTTAAACATGTAATACATAATTTCTACCCGCGATTGTACATTATGATGAGAATTGGTTTCAGTATTTTTACGACCATTACATTACCAGCCTTTATAAGTTATTACTTCGTACGGTAGGCCCTAACTTGTCGGAGATTGATTTGCAATTCGGTACCCACTTCAGGCGTTCTGAGTGGTATCAACAAAATGTGTCATTAAAGGGCAGTATAAGGGTATGACTTCGATACAGTACTACCTCCATTATGCTTTTGTACTCTTTTTATGCAGTGGAATGGAAATTCACTATCTTAGGAATCACTTAATAAAGGATCACTTCACTTTGTAGTCAATCCACTCCAAAAGAGATTGAACTACTCTTTAGTGGGTGGATTCTACTTGCTTTCTTTTTTAAAATCTTAGCGTGGATTCATCTCAATAACGAAGTGACCCGTAATATGAGTCCAAAAAGAGTGTATTTCCACTGATGTTCATTTAAGGAGTAATCATTTTGAGAATGAGTGCTTGTACCCATGCTGTTTTCAGAACCAGACGGCATTGCAGTGGATTCCATCTCGAAGCTGGTGTATTGGTCGGATCTTGCAACACGTTCTATATCTGTATCTACCCTTGATGGCTCAGACCGTAAAACGCTGGTTACAAACATCGCTAAACCCAGAGCAATCGTTCTGCATCCTGTTGAAGGGTAAGGCATATAACAATAATGATTGATGAAGATTTATTTACAAACAAAAGTGATCCAAATGCAATGTAATGGTCAATTCAAGGAAAAGAGTGTCAGGAACGAATTATTATTTAAAAAAAAAAGCTTTTCAAAAAGATGACGAAGCCAATTCATGCGATCTTCTACGATTTTAACCCAACTAGAAGTAAAGACCCTGACCTATACCAACAATTTCTCTCTTTTCACTTTCTGTTATTTTATTTCTTTGCTGTATTTTAGAAGGGAGGGACGTTTTGATAAACTCTCTTTATAGTGTACGCTTTTAGTATTTTTTAAATCACATTCTAAAAAGTCTACTGCTTTAAATCGTAGCATAATGTTTCTAATATTTATGAAGTGTTCCCACAGGTTTATCATAGTTTTGATGTAGATCAACAATTTCAGTGGACTCTTTTTGAAATTATGATGATTACATATGGTAACGTATTTTCCCTCTAATGCTTGAAAATTATGGACAAGTAATGTACAAAATATATGAATTTTCGTGTTAACAAAACATTTATAATCAGATTATTTGAAATTCAAGAACTTCAAATGATCATTTAACATCATACTTCCCATTGCCGTTAGGATAATGTTTTGGAGCGACTGGCGGAGTAGTACTGTGATTGAACGGTCGTACATGGACGGTGACATGCGCAGAGTCATCATAAACACAGGCTTAAGATGGACTAATGGGTTAGCCATTGACTTTGAAGGTAAGTTGGGAAGAAGTTCTTATTAGGGTTATCAGCTATTTTCTAGAACCATAGGATGTGTGTTGAGCAATTGTTCAAAACTTTCAGGAAATACGTGGTAAATGCTCTACTATGTTTCATATTTTCCCTTACTGAGTATATAAGGAACTGTGGCAATGGTAACTATTATAGAGAATAATTAAATGTATAACAATCCACTGTCACACACAATGTACCAATAAGCAGGATATCAAAAAAATTGTAGTGTTGAGAATGTAAAACCTCTGTATCAACACTGTCTTAGTAGTATCATAAGCATATATATCTAAAGTTGTGAGTGCAACCCATCACTCCTATTTCTCTCTTTTTTGCCACTCCTAATTCTTCTCAATCAGAAAATCGTCTCTACTGGTGTGATGGTGGTCTAGATGTGATTGAGTCTAGTGACTTCTCCGGTCGTGACCGCCGCGTCGTTCTCAACCTCGGTGACGGACGTCACGCCTTCGGAATATCGGTCATCGATCAGTCGGTCTACTGGACGGACTGGATGGTCAAGGGTTTGCTGAAGGCGGACAAACTAACCGGACAGAATAACGTGGTGCTTGGTAAAAGAGACTTTACGAGACCAAACGCCCTCTTTGTGGTCACCAACGCGTCTCTTCCATCAGGTTAGATTTTAGAACTGAATGCCTATACCATCCCGAAAAAATACATCTTAACATTTGAGTTATGAATTATGAGCTTTGTGTTGATTCATATGTGTGACCAGACGGTAAAATTGTTATTTCATCTTAAACTAGATGGTAACAAAGTTATGATTTTGCAGGATTAAATTGGAGAAGCGATGACAAATTTGTGTAAGATCAAATTGTACGCCGTCTGTCTGGCACTCAAATCCGAAGAACATTGAGAAATGAAAAAGAGGTAATATTTAATACAATGAAATACTTTCATACAGTTGTCAATTTTGGAACAAAGAGAGAAAGATAATATTTCTTGATTTATTCTCCGGACTACCAAGAAAGCTGCTAAACAGAAACTTGTTTGAAGGCTTCGTTGCACTTGAATACTGTAGATAGGCTTCGAGGTGCAACCACATTTTTTTGCCCGTATGTCTAATTCATGCAGGCCTTCCTCATATTAGTGACTATGATAATGACATGTCCGATATTCTGTATAAAACGTTTAAAAAGATATTCTCACCTCATTAATGATCATAGATATTCCATACTTCAGTATTACTGATGAAATATCAATCTGATCAACAGGAATCAATTCATGTTCTGAGAACAACGGAGGCTGTTCAACTCTCTGCTTGCCGACAGCCATTGGTAGATCATGCGCTTGCGCAGATGGAGTAGATTTGGCACAAGATGGTTTAACATGCGTCTCAGGTAATAAATCTATCATTACTCCCGTTTACATCTTTATTTACCATTCTTAGTTTAACATCAATTGAACGTGAGATACAGATGGAACATTTGCAGTCATCGTGCTTTAAATGTTTTTTTCAGTACTGTAGATATGTAGATTCATACTGAATGTCATACGAAGACAAAACGTTTTACAGTGTGTAAAATTAAGCGCATAATGGACATTTGTTACAAAAGTGATGTCGTTTTCATTGTAGCAAAATTAACAATTTGGTTAAAAAATTAGTGTGTTATGAAAACAAAACATTGATAGGTTAACAAATCCAGCATCCGATAATTGCGCTTCTGTCCCATATGTTCCAGTCCAACATATTGAGGCATCTCACTATAGTAACACAATCTTCTCATAATCATGCCGAATATACTTTCAGAACTGGACATTCAGTGTCCACTAGACTTCATATATGGAGGCGTAGAGGAGTCATGTGACAGATCAGCCGGAAGTACTTGCTCGGTCATATGTTACTCAGGTCTCGTTCCGGCCGTGGATTACGTCATCTGCCAGAACTCGGGAAGCTGGGACATACCACGAAGTGCTATTTGCAGAGGTAAGGGCTGATATCATGATTCTTGTTATCCTTCACCCACGAAAGTAAATGGTGGGTTGTGGGGCACTTTCAATGAACATTTCGAAGGTCAATATCAGATGGTTATATTATTTAAACTATATTTGGCGAGGCATAAATAGTCTCCATCCTGCAACATTGAAAGCAAAATGGGGCATTTTAGCATCTTCATATAACATTTTCGAAAACCTAAGGTGTTTTTACGCTAACCTGTATCAATCTGCTTGAAGAGTTGTATTAGAAAAGAGCGGGTGGAAGAATTGTTATTTAAACTTATGGAAAGGGGAATTAATATTGATATGTTTGTGAGAAATACTTCACTCTGTTACTTTATTGATTCGACGTAGTTAGAAAAATACTTCAATGGAGTTCACTCTTTTTGTCATTCTGAGAAGGGGGAGCAATGCAATCCTTAACAAATGTACTGGAGTATTAAACCGAACTATGCTATTTGTTTATTTCTCCAGCAAAATAGTTCAGTGAAGGAAAAGAGAGTTACTATTAAACTTGATATTTTTAAGCCAAATCTTATACTTTTGGATCAATTGTAAGATCTCACTTTATCATTCTGTTGACAGAGGAGCAATGCGAGGCATTGGATGTGCCAAACCACGCCATATTCTCAGGGCCATGCAACCCACCGTATGATCAGGGCAAGCTGTGTATCTTAGAATGTGAACCCGGCTACGTCAGAACGAGCGGGAAACCAAGACGAGTATGCGCGCACGGTGGAGAATGGCTTGGGACACCAATCGTCTGCGAAGGTAATAAGCTTTATGTTTTATTTTCAGTTTAAGTCGACTTCAATTCGGTTTCAGTTCAGTTCCATTTCGGTTTGGTTTCATATTTCATATTTCACGTTACACATTGTCTGTTTTGTTTCCAATAATATGATGATAAAAATAATAATACGCATGCATTTCGAATACAGAGCATAACATATCAGCTGGTTTGCTTGTACATATTTGTTAATTAAGGACTGAGTAAAATTGGATATTGAGGTTATCAAGGAAATTTAGGTAAAAGCAAAGTTGAATTGTACGCCGTAGAGGATACGTTTTATCGTAAGTCATACAAACTTTTGGGAACGAACAGGAAACATTTTATTAAAGATAAATGTAAACAAGTTTTATTAAAGTGTGTATTGAAAATAAATGTAATCGTTGATCAACTTGATCGATGACCTGGTGGTAGAGTGGCGTCATAACGTTACTGTCCACTTATCCGACGCGATGCAACAATCTAAAACCCGGCCTTATATTCATGCACGTAGCCATAGTTTAATGTTGGGGGGGGGGGGGGGGGGTCACATACATGTAATCGATCGAGGTAAAAAAAAGGGGTCTAAAAAAGTTCAACCGATCTTGGAAATTTTGGGGGGCACGTGCCCCTCCCCACCCCCGTGCCCCCCCCCCCCCCCGTGGCTACGTGCCTGCTTATATTTGGTTTCCACGTTACATGGTCCCTTACGATTTATGTGGGTTGGTTGGTGGATTATTCATTTGTTTGTTCATTTGCTGCTACTTGTTTTCGGCACTGGTGTAAGTAATCAGTTAAAGATATACTATTGCAGTTGAAAACAATGCAGTCATAGTGAAGGAAAATAAAATCGGATCATACGTCGGTCTTGCCACTTTCCAGTTGAAACTTATTTCAAATATTCATAAATTAAACAAAATGATTCATAGTCTTTAAAGAGTGTTATTTCTCTTTTCTTTTTCCTTGATTTAATTACATTGCTGTATACTTATATAGAGACTGCGTGATATAAAAAAAACAATAACAACCGGCATTATCATGATCAATTATCGTCCTAAACTGAAATATACAAGTAATACAAGTGATAACACAAACTAAACTTCGAAAATCTTTTAATAACAAGTTTAACGTGAAATACTTAAAGTGCTAATGTAAAATGTATCGATAAAGAAGACGGTTATTCCTACCAGTCATTATTCATCATTTGTGTCAAATAATAGAAATGGTAGAACCGCCGCCCGAGGGTGAATGTAGCAGTGAACTGGCCTTCCAGGAGACCCCCGAAGACTACTCACCCGTACAGGACGACCTGGTCCAACAATCCTGCACTACCAACTCACCGCAGGCCGATATCACGTGGTACAAAGATGGCGTCCGACTCATGACAGGTTTGTTTCCAACTCTTTCAGTACAAAATAAAAGGTTATTAAAAATCTAAAATATAGTTTGTAAGCGTAAATATTTAATTGAAGTTTCTTCTCGAAGGCGCTGCTGCCGTTGATGTAAGTTTTTTTCTTCAATTGCGCCATCTTTTGGTGAAGCCGTACATACATATATAAAGAGCAATTTCCGGTTCCTGTACCCAAGCATAATCACGCACTTGGTGATACATTGTGGGACGTAGCTGTCGACACATAGGGACATTATGAGCAGCAGATGGCAGAATACGTAGATATGAAGTAGTGTCAGTAGAATACATTGCTTTTAATTCAAGATTGACCCAAGGTAGTTACATCACGTGGTACAACAAGATGGCGTCCGTCTCATGACAGGTTCGATTGCTGCTCTTTGATAAAGAAAAGTTATGAAAAGAGTCAAATATAGGTTTGTAAGTTGAATGAAATTATTGAAGTATTGAAAATATCTTCACATAGACATCACATGATACAATAATGGCGTCCGAATCGTGACACGTTCGAATACACATTTTTCACTGTTATATATATATATATATATATATATATATATAATGAACAAAAAAAAAACCTAGTTTCAAGTGGAAGCTATACAATTAATGATAACCTATTTTAAGTTCCTCTTAATTCAAGATTACAACAGTTATTTCTTTGAAATTTCTTTGAAAACAGTCAGGTTTAAACTTAGTAAGTGATTTATATAAAAATGATGGGTCAATAAGTCCATTTGATATATCGGGTTGAAAAAGGAGTTCCCTCGAATTTCTTAATACTATGGAGGACTATTGTTCTTGCCATACCTATAGCTTGGAAACAGAAACTTAGACATAACATATAAATCTTACCTTTTATATTAACTATTGAAGTTAAAGCAAGACATATTTAGTACAAAATTTAAACAAACTGTCTTCCAACTAATTATAGATTACATCAAATGAAACTGGTTGATTCAGAACTATGTAATTTTTATGAAAATTTCCCGGAAACAATGGAGCATATTTTGGGGGTGTGAATATGTAAGGCCGATATGGTCAGAGTTTCGAGCCTGGTATAAAGATATTACTAGTACATGTAATTATATAAGTTTGAATTTTGACACTGTATTATTTGGATATAAAAGAAATAACAATTTTTTAAAAACCTTTGTATAATCTTAGTGAGAAAAAAATGATATTATATGATAACAGATACAGGAAACAGACCATTGTTTAGATGTTTCAAATTTTTTGAGCTTGAAAAGCAAGTGGCTTTGGAAAATAATAATACAATGAGCAAATTCTGAACTAAATGGCATATGTTAAAGGTACTTTGTCCCATTTGCAGGCCAAACAAAATCAAAAGGTTAAATACCAACGGCATTTGAAAGATAACACTAATTTAGGACTTCACTCAAAATGAAAGTGCTTAAAAAAAAAATTGGTGGGAAAATATCGATCATTAGTTGTCGAATTGCATTAAGGGATCGCAGTCCTTTTATTAAATAGTGTGATTTTCAGACCCTTGTACCGAATGGTCGTATGTTTTGGGCTGCACAAAGATTCAATCAGTTTAATTTTGGCCATTACAAGAAGTGGGCTATTGATGTAGGCAACTGCTCATGTACCCTTTACGGCTCATTTTATGTATGTTATTACCAAAGAAAAAAAGTCAGTCAGTAACTCAATAGTGTCTGACAGTGAAGTCTAGCAAGTAAACGGGTTTCCTTGCATAATTTGAATACTAGGACACTGCGAACGTTTAAATATCAAAGATAGGACATACGTGGCAAATTCTTAATTCCTGCTAAGTTCTACATACTTTGATGTTGGCTGCAAAAGGGATACACCACCTTTGAAAATTAATTCTTTAGAAGATTAATATACAATGAGTGATTTCAAGTTGGGTGTTAGTGTTAGTTAGTGTTAGTGTTTAGAGCATTCAGAGACTCTTAAATCGAGCTAAAAATTTGGTGATGAAATTAAGGGCCTGATACCAATATCAATATCGATGCACCGTGGTATCGCCACACAGACTCGATTTCACGACGATGATTTAAAATAGTACATAAAAACTAGAGATATCAGGAAAAGCACAGAATAAATTTACACCTATTTCTCTGGTCTTATAAAATAACTCATTTCACACAAAGGAATATATGAAACACATAGTAAAAGACCTGTTTCACATATTTTCATTTGATCGTCAGACGATGAATTAGCGTCGTTCGTGCGTTGACTGTTGTGCTGGTACAGCACTAACACCGAACTGGAAATCAACATTTGCTTAATTCCTAGGGGTAGTGTTAGTGAATAGGGCATTTGTACGTAAAATATTAACACCAGCCACAAAGGTCAGTTGAGCAGACGACAATTTTGCAATATCAATAACACTAGCTACCGGAAGTTGACGATATTCAGAGGTCAAAGCCTTAACACCAGCTGATTTCCATTTCGGTGTTTAAGCTGGTGTTAGTGTTAACACCAGCCCTAAACACCCAACTTCAAATCACTCAATGTAGCCATTACGACTTTTTGTTTCTTTTTTCATTTCTGTGAGATTATAAAATTATAACTTTCTGTTTCTGTTTTGTTCAAACAATGTATTTTATTATACCCCAAAGTGAGGGGATAAACTAAAGAAACCTCCCAAAAAGAAGGAAAAAGGGCGAGCTATTCTCCTTATTAAGTTGAATGCATGGCTAATACAGTTTTCTGTTGTACTTTGTTCTATCCCTTTTTTTTATACGCCAGGTTCTGTTAACGGAATCTACATACTCCCTTCTAATGACCTCCTTATTCCTGGTTTTGACACTCATCACCAAGGTCACTACGCATGCGTGGCTTCCTTTTCAGGTCGAGAATGCTTAAGAGTGGAGGTTGACTTTGGTAAGTAGCTCATCGTTCATTAGTTAACACTGCAAGCAAATAAGGGCTTAAGTAGATCATATCGACGAGATATTTTATGTGATTACCTGATACCCCAGTTACACGGCAAACCCGCCAAAGAGACTCAAAACAAAGCGATAACCAAATAATCGTTAAATTTGTGTACTGATTATTTAGTAGTGCTTTTTTATTATATTATTCAGAAAGGGTTCGGTCTATCATCGGTTTCGTGTCCGTCTTAACGAGTTGACTGGGGTATAATTCAGATACATACTGTAAAACATTCCAAATACCTAAGTAACTGAAAATGTATAGTATGGCAGCAGCCAGCAGCCACATACAGTGGCATATCCAGCAAGGAGGAGCTGGTTTACAGAGTAAAGCCCTCGTTTTATCCGATAACAACTGTAGTGGGTCTACAGCAATGCCTTACATTTCACGGGCACCCGTATTCCTCCCGAAACCGAGTACATGGACTTTTTCACCCCCAGTACTCACATTTTTAGATACACCTCTGTTTTCCGATTTATGAAAAAGACTGAAACAACATGTTAATTAATTCACATCATTCAGTAAATGTGGAAATATTTTCTGAAACTTCTATGCAGCTTTCGATCCATACCGCCATTTTGAAGCCGTTCCCGCCAACGCGTCCTTGGACGTTGGTGATCACCATCTGTTTGAATGTCAAGCCCAGTCAGCCATTGACTCCGTCACCTGGTGGAAGGATGGTTCAAGAGTCCATCAAACAGACCAAATCATTCTGGTTAGTGTCTTCAATCCTACCGGTACTCTCCCCCCAACAATGGCGGATCCAAAACATGTGCCCCTTGTAGTATTGCTGTGCCTTGCTTTCAAGTGTTTAACCAACAATATACTAAATGCACCTGGGAAAAACTTCTGCTTTTTCTATTCGTAGATACTTTAACCATATTTACTAATAAAACTGATATTAACATAATGTGAAGATTGATTTTTTGGATTTGTTTCCAGCATTGTGCCCCCTCTTGTATAAAATCCACGGATATGTCCTTACTGAAAGCATAGTAAAATCCAATGCAGCTCTTTAGAATAGAGCAGGATAGTTTAGGGCAACTAATAAGAGTTAAGTAAGTTCTACTTTTAAGGAGTTCATCATGATTGGTTAGATTTTGGAAATGGTTAGCCTACCAGTGGTCGTCATGTCGTCATGAAACTAAACCATATTCTCCTAGTCTCCTGATGTTTTGCAACCAAAAAAGGTAGCTTAATAAGCGTTTTTGGTCGGAGCATCTGGCACAGTTCACAATAAACATTGTTATGAATATTTTGCGGATAAGAAGTGTCTTTTAGTTTAAACTAACAAAGGGTGGATCTCTGCCCTGTTGATTGTAAATAGTATCATATGCGCACTAAGTCGGTGCCTACGTGAAAATATTGAGGTTTTGATCATGATGTATCTTTAATGCCATTTTTAGATTTCAGGAGGAAGCCTTCTGATAAGGAACCTTGTTCGTCAAGACTCGGGCAAGTACACATGTATCGTATCCGACCAACGGGGCAATCAAAGGGGAAAGGCTTATGCCTGGCTCACCGTAGCAGATACAATGAACCCGCCCACCATTAACATAACAGAAGGTAAACTGAAAAAGACTTACTGTTTAAATACCTTTTGGTATGACGCATTCATACACGTCGTACAACCAACTTGTATTAAAAGAAATAATTCATTTTTTCAACGATACTATGAGAGTGCTTTGAATAATATCAAAAATATGACGGTACTGAGAATGATTGGTGATATTGAGGAGAATGATGGTCATTATGATTAGGAATAAGTAGGCTAATGATTATGATGATGGCGGTGAACGTGATGATGGTTTTGATGAAGATAACGATAGTGGTAAAAATGTTGGTGAAGATGGTTGTGTTAGGATCTCAACAATATTGACAAAAATAGTAACGACGATGACCTTGTGGATGTAGTGCCAGCCAGTACCTGTTCTTTTTACTGTTTCTGTTATATCATACAGTTTGTGGGACAGTCACATCCCCTGAAGCCACAATGTTCACCACCCCGGGACCCAGGGATGGTAGAGTGGTAGGTGGGCAGCAGTCCCTCCCTGGCTCTGCTCCTTATATGGGTCGTATTTGGCACAAAGCAGACCGAACTTTCGTATGCGGCGCCACACTGCTGAACCAGCGATGGGTCATTACTGCAGCCCATTGCATCGTCCTCTACCAGCTCCAATTTCGTGACATTCTTCTCTACTTCGGCGACCACGACACCCTGACGAGCGAAGACCATCAGGTCATTGCCGAGGTCGACCAGATCATCCAGCACGAAGACTTCGACGAAGAAAGCTTTGACAAGGACATCGCTCTCATCCGCCTCAAGCAACCTTTTGCGGAATTCACGGACTACATTCGCCCGATATGCATTCCACCTGCCTGGTTGGCTAAAATGCTACTGCAGCCCGACATGATGGGAAGAGTAACGGGTTGGGGGCAGATCGCAGAGGGCGGGCCATACCCAAGGTATCTTACAGAGGTTGACCTGCCAGTCGTTAAAAGCAAGAAGTGTAAAGATGCCACCACTTTTGAGGTGACGAGGTACATGTTCTGCGCGGGGTACGCCAGTGCTGAGGAGAAGAAAGATGCGTGCCAGGGGGACAGTGGTGGACCCTTTGCCATGCTTCATGAAAACAGGTGGTATCAGCTAGGGATAGTGAGCTGGGGAGAAGGTTGTGCAAGGGATAGCAAGTACGGCTATTACACCAAGATCTTACGACTCCACTCTTGGATTGACAGGAACATCTCAGATTAGTCCTATCATAATCCAGCATGTCTTGCCACTATAATTTTGTGTCACATCGTTTATTCGACGGGAATGTGTGAGATGTTGAACAGAAAAGCGTTGATGCCTGTAAACGTGAGATCATAATCATGCATTAAATATAGTCATTATAAAACACATGTAAACATTTTAAATAAAATAGTAAAGAAATGAGACAATTAACATGAGATGAAATAGTTGTTTCACCTTTACATAGAAAGACGTGCTCTTTTACCATTTTAACTGTTACAGTACGATAATGTTTCATGTAGACATACGTTTATGCTGCTATAGTTGCTGTACTTCAAAATATATTTTCTAGAAACTTTAAACTATTGTGCACTTCAAAGACTACTTATTGTTTCTTTTAATAGAAATTTAAAAAAGGGCGGCTCTGCAGAGGCTTGGTTTATGTACGAAAGGAAAGTGAATACTGGAGGTAGTCTCGTGGCTTATTATTTTTATCAGGAAGGTATCGTTATCTTAATTGCATCGTTCTTCCCAGGTTTATAAATAGTTAGGCGAACGAGTACAATCGTCATACATATATATTTGATTGTGCGTATGTGCAAGAACCCCCTCCCCCATGAAGTAAAGAGAGAGTGTGCACACTGCCACACTGACTGGGGAAATAACTGCAATGTAAAGCGCCTTTAGGACAGTTATTAGGCGCTTTTCAGTGTTTTTGATTAAATCAACCACTTAAAAACTATTTTTTTTAGATATCTCATTATGATAATTTGTAGATATAATAAGAATAAGAAACTGTTATATCTGTTTCATAAATGGGAAAGGTGAAAACTAGTCATGAAAAGTTCTTGGTTCACCGTATAATTTGGATACGACTGAGTGTGACTGATTCTACATCAACATAGGCCTCATACTATTACAATCATCAACAGATATTAGAAGAACGTCTTATATCGAAGTAAATATTGAATCATCTATTACTGTATATTTATCAATTTGTTGATGATAGGATGTCCTTTCATTTTGAGCTCAGACCATGAATGTTGAATTAAATCCGGTTTTGTAATTTCGATACAATTCTACGAACCATGCTCAAGCACATAAATGTTCCATGGTCAATTCTGTTACATTGATCGAAATCATGGTCAGGCGTAGATTATTATATTACCTCCTTTCACTCTAGTCTTTTCCTTCTATTCTTCCACTCCAATTTCTCCTTTTCTTAATCTTTTTTTATTTCTACATGAGATTTCACACCTATTATCGCGTTATGATATTATTACCTTTGATCGATCTTCCAATTATTCTTTTAATGATGTCTCATTGAATCCTGTTTGTGATGATACTTTACAATCTTCATTTTGTAATATGATAGTTTGATGGATATCAGAAGTAATAAATCGTTATGTTTTCAATCTTGACTCCTTAGTTTATTTCTGTATGTACTATTTCTGCATATATGAAATGATCCTACCTCTATTTCACTTCTTTTGGTGCAAATATGATCAAACAGACACCCAATTTCATCACATTTATAAAATGTTTGGAACTCGCTCTTAAATTAAATTTTGTCTGATCATCCCAATTGTACGCATTTCCCAATTTAAAATGGCCCCTTCAGATTCGCCGATTTCTTTTGACACTGCATGGTTGTTTATTGAATATTACACCTTTAGTTTATGGTTGAGAAGGGGAAAAAAATCCATTCTCTTTTAGAAAAAAGCTTTCAAATTAAATAATTAACCCTCATTGAGAACTAGTATACATGGCTCGAATGAGAGTCTACCGCTTCGCAAAAGGAATATGATTACACGTAGGCCAATTTTCACAAAATTCCTTTTTATTTGTGAAACAATTTTTCCACTCCAATAAAAACAAAAATCGTCATACACGATCATGATCATGATGAGTAATAAGTCAAATATGTATCAACAAAATAGAAGGTATAATTGGCGGGATATCCAGAAGGATTTTAGTGATAAAAAAAAAACGATTCAAGACCGAGTAGAGCCCTTTTCGTTTATGTGTCTAATCGACCGCCAAAGCCTTTTGTGAAGCACAGGACCGGAATTGACGCAGAGAGCTGTGATTCATTATTCAGACTATACGCGAACGATGGTGTAGCCTTGTGAGTTTCACTTGAATTACAAGGATTGCAGGGGCTGATTTTTTCGTTTTTAACAGTTTTAACGGGATAACAAATTTCAGTCAGCATGGTCACGAAAACTTATTGATGGGTTTCAATCAAGTTAACCGAAGAGGCTAGGATAAAAACGACATTTAGTACACTACTTCAGAAGAACCAGCTCTTCAACCGTATATCTTCTATAATTATTATCAAACAGCGGCAGATCCAGGGTAATTTGATCTCTTTTTAGGAGGTGCTGAGTTATCAAATATATAACTAGGTACACACGCTAATATGTCAACTTGAAGTGATATTCGTGGTTATAAACTTCGAAGTTATCTCGTACATGTAGTTGCAAACAACAACGGAAATTAAAATAATATACAAATAAATTGTCAGAGTAAAGGTCTAAACATAATCATTTACAGGGTAAACACGAGTTGCTAACATTAGTGCAGAATTGGTTTCCAAAAAGATGTCAGAAGTTCTTTACTCAAAATAGCATACACAATTTTTGTTATAACATTTGGTTTATTTCATTTAATTTTAGAACTTGTGCTCTTGCCAAAGAATCCTGTATTAGGCAATTAGTAGTAAGAAAACTTTGGGACGGGATTCCTTTCTCAATGCAATATTATTCATTTATTCATTTATTCCTTGATAAAGGATTAAAAAAACAAGATCAGCAAAGAATTTTCCTACCATGGTGCTCATTATTAAAGAACATACAATAATTAAAAAAAATAATACAGAAATGTTAAGATGCACATTACAATACAAAGAAATATAATAGTATATTGAAAACCTAATAATCGAATTGAGAATATGAGTTAATGTGATCATAAATACAAAACAAAGCTTGAATTTGACGGGGAAAATATGACGCCTGATGATACAAAAACTGATTATTTCCAGCAATTGCAGCGTAAGCCAGGCGCCAATGATGAGGCGATTATCGCGCGGCTAATCGGGCATGCAATACGCAACGTGTACCCGCCTCTGGGAAACCCCAAACGCCGTTATCCCTCTTCCAGTCTTGCCACAAGGGGCTATGTCTGCGAGCCTGGGATGAGTGATAGGTGATGAATTCATCATGAAAGTAACACCTTTGTGTTATATACGGGAGAATAGCATGTGCGTGTGCGCGTGTGTGTAAGTATATGTGTGAAATTCGTCGGAATGGTATTCTATATGCATAGAATGGAATCGCGGGATTAGCAAGCAATAATTACCTTAGTGTATTTAAATCCTAATATTTCTGGCAAGAACCAGACTACACAAAAACGATTGTTTTGTTTTTTTATTTAGCAAGTTAGGTTTTTTAAATTGAAGAATATCGGAATATATATGAATATCATGTTGGGGCAACAAGTAGGATATTTTTCTTGAACATTAGGAAAGTGGGTAAACCGCAGAGTGGGCGATACAAAAATGGTACGAAGAGAGTGTGTGCCTTGTGAGTGGATGTGTGTGTGAGAGAGAGGGAGAGCGGGAGAGGTCGTTTGTAATGCCATGACATGAGAAATGTGAAATTAAGACAAAGAGAAAAGAGTGATAAATGAAAAAGGATAGATACAGAGAGGGAGAGAGATAGAGAGAGAGAGAGAGAGGAGGAGGAGGGAGGGAGAGAGAGAGAGAGATAGATAGAGAGAGAGAGAGAGAGAGAGAGATAGGAGCAGACGAATATAGTGTGACAATGAGAAGGCGAATGCATGAAGAGATGAAGAAGGCAAACTTTAGAGAAAAAAAGATGAAATTAAAAAAAAAAAGAAGAGAGATAGAGCGAGAGATAAAGAGATAGAAAAAGAACGAGAAAAAAAGGAGAACGTGTGAGAGAGAGAGGGAGAGAGAGAGAGAGAGTGAGAGAGAGAAAGAGAAAGAGATGGAAAGAAAGACAGAAGGATTGAGAAAGACAAAAAGTGGGGCGAGTTACAGGGAGAGAGAAAATGCAATCAGAGGTATTGAGAGTGAGATCAGAGAGAGATGATTGGATCGTTGGTATTGGACCAGTTAGTGTCAAGTGAATTCATTCGCTCACCATCCATCGTGCGATACAGATGTCATTTAAGAGGAGGAGTATATATAAAAGATGCTTGCAGACGACGAACACACAACAATCATGAAGAGTGACATTCAATCGACAGTTGAGGTATGTAAGAAAGTTATTTTGAGAAGAATATGGTTTAGAATTAGAAAATAAATATTAAAGGCTTTTTGATGATCAACATTGTGTCCAGAAAGCCCATCACATTTGTAATCTAATTTGGTGATCGAGAAGTACTGGAACGCGGTAATTCGTGACAAAATTGTGTTACATTAGATGTACCCAAAAGTACATGTAGATCTACCTCACTATTCGTCGTTTCCCTATTTAATTTTGAAGCAAAAATAAGCCTCTCATCCACCTACATATCATGTATAGCTACACAAGTCATCACGGGTCATAATCAAAGTTCAGATAATTTTGATATTGTTGTACTCTGGCTCAATTCAAAAATACTATGATCACCAACCATTTGTTGTACCTCCTCTCCCCTCCCCCTTAATAATATTTATTTATATATTTTTTTCTATTTATTTATCTTGTTTTGAAAGAAGCCCCAAAGTGTCATCCTTCCAACCCAACGGTCTCAGTGGTTGACAAGCGCGTTGTCGCACGCTTATAACCGGATGTATCAAGAAGCCAGCATCAACAATGAGATCGTTGTCCTCTCAACCGGCATTGACCAGTACATCCAAGAAGTCTTCTTTCACCTTGGCAACCGAAATCGCATCATTGGTACAAATAGAGATGATGCTGAGCCAGAAACTATTTCATCGGATGATTTTAAGAACCTCTGCCTGCTTCTGGGAGCAGACGACGACAGCGTGAATGAGGAGAGTGGACTCGAAGGCCATGATGACGGGATTGAATTCCAAGATTTCCACTCGCGGCTGATCGATATGTTCGCCGAGATCAACGATGAGGACTGCAAGGTGGAGGATGAAGGGAAGAGAAGAGGAGACCAGAACAGATGGAGAAGTGATGATGAGATGGTTGAAGCTGGCATCAACGTTCCTGATAGACAGGGGTTGGTGTTACGTCAGATGTGCACAGAATGCTTCCAATACCGATCCGTCTTGGAAGTATTTCACTCTGTACTCTACAAGCAGGGAAAAACACCCATTTTCAAAGGTTAGTAAGAAAAATTATTCTTCGTTACCTTGACTAATAAAATACCATAAACAGATATTTAAAAAACACTTTGAAAACCTGTTTTGTTTAACAGTGAGGTAAAACAAAAATCAACCTTACTTATTATACTCATCAAGAACGTTACCACATGTCATTTATTGTGTACGTGCAGTACTTTTACCTATTATGAGGGTATGGATATGTGTTTGTGTTCCCGACATTACTCATAGCCAGTGACGTACGCAGGATTTTTTTTCAAGGGGGAAGTTTTATAATTGGATTGCATCATTAATGTGACCTCGCGAAATATATATATATATTTGTTGCCAATTTCGTGAAAAAATATCTAGCGGCGAATCAGCCAGCCGGCGAATAACCGGGGGGGGGGGCTGGGGGAGGGGAGGTAAGGAGCATTACTTTTCTTCTCGGCGGGGAGGAGGGGGGGGGGGGTGGGGGTCGAGAAAAAAGAAGAAAAAAAGCTTTTTGAACTTTTTTTTGGCCGGGGGGGGGGGGGTTCGGGCCTCCTGCCCCCTCCTGCATCTGCCACTGACAGAAAGATTAAAGGGGTGTTTAGTCCCCAAAACACCCCTTCCCCTGCGTTCGGCCCCTGACAGCTGCCACGTAATATACAAAATGAAAGACAGAGGCATCAACACGTTTAAACCTACTAGATGATACTTACGGTCAAGCTTGATAAAAAAACAGAGAAGCAATTTCTACTAATTAAAAAAAATACTTCAAAATACTCAATGAGACAGATAATCTTTTTGCATGCTCATTTTTTTTTTTTACCATAGTGTCACAGACTCCCCCAACTATTGCATCATATTCAACTCTCTTTACATTCTGGTTAAATAACACATATTTTTTCCACAATACTTCGTTCATAGATGGAGACAACAGAGAACACTTAGATATCCACACAGCGAACAACTCCGAGCGAGAAGACAGCATGAGTATTTTGGCGGGAAACGAGGAGGTGGCAATTCTACGAGCAGAGAACAACTGTCTGCGAGAAGTTGTAGAAGACATGCGAAGAGCTCTGCAGTCATGTGATGCAAAATGTCTCGCTTTGCTTGTTGAGATTAAGAAATTTCACCAAAGCAATGGAAATCATCTACTCATTGATAATTACAATAAACAAAAGATGGGTCTCGGCTCCGGTGAGACCGAGTCGACAAGAGTTGTCAAACTTGTAAAAGAAATCAACATGTTGCGAGAGAACAGGGATAAACAGCTCGAGGAGGCTATTCTATTCACACAACACCTCGAGGCCGAACTCTGGCAAGAAAGGCAGAAGAATGAGGTTACGGAAAAATGCGACAAAGGGTAAGAAAAACAATTACATCTCACATTTACATCTGCATATGTAACATTTGCATTGGTCTGAATCAAGCAATGGAATCATTACAACTCCCCCTAAATCATAAAACCATCGATATTTTTTGTTGTTGTAAATAATTCCTTAAATAAGAGCATTTGTAAATTTTTATTTAGTTACCATCATCATTATTATGAGCTGAACTGAATTAAACATAAGATAAATAAAGAGAAATATTACTTGAGAATTTTTTGTTGAAAGTGTGAATTATCTCGAAATCTAAAGATACTCTCTCTTAAGAGACTAATCTACAAAAGAAACGTCAATATCATTGTTTTAATTTAGATTTGGCAGTAATGTCAATACTTTGCCCCTAGCTTTATATATAAGCGACGCAGTCATAGCCACTCCATATTCTTTGCCTAATGCTATTTCTTAATGTCTTCTTTGACACTCAAGTTAATCATGCACCTTTAAAATGCAAAGGTGCTTCTACGGCGCCACCATAAATCTCTAACTAATATTAAATTTATTTAATCCTGTGAGGTTGTTATTTTGATCTTTCTGGACTCCTAGGATAAGCTTTTGATTAAATTTGCCAAAGTCCCATAACCGCCTCTGCATGCTGCAGAGTTCGTTGACTTTCCACTCCTATTGGGGGGTTTAGCAAAGTTGACTTCATCAAAATTTCATCCACGTGTAAATCTCTATCTTCGGAATGGAATGTTGGTTTCGAAACGAGGACAAAAGCAAAGACAACAAGTACCAAAAGGTGGAATAAAAGTACAACTTACCAATCTGCTGTCATGCAGTAACCATTATTATTATTGTCTTACTTTGTCAGGCGCGGATCCAGGATTTCTTAGGGGGGGGGGGGGTGAGGGTAGTGAGCACTATTTTTTTATTATTTTTTTTGCCGGGGGTGCCCCCTGTGCCCCCTAGATCCGCCACTGTTTGTGCAGAATCACCAAATAAATGATAGGTGTTAATACACAATTGACGCTTTGACATGAACAAATGTACCTTGTAATTTTTAGGAAAACAAATATGCAAGTTATCTCCTGATTTATTAGTATGGTTTCCTGATTACATGAAACATATTCTGTGCAAAAAGATTTGATGTTATCTGACATATCACTAATTAATGATTCAGGTATTGAATTACGCATACGCAGTTAAATACTACAGCCACGTGTAGAAGAGAATTCTTCAAGTATTGAAGAGATATCTTTCTTCGTAGACAGTGCGAATGTAAATACAAATGTTGTCCAGTAGATATCAGGTTCCTTAACGTCTTCAGTGCTTAAAACCTTTTTGGTCTTCCTATTGGTAACTTGTAATTGTGTGGCTTTGATTATATCAAGAATAAAGTAAGTGCCATCAATTAGAATATGCCTATCTACAACCCAAGTGGGACCTTGTGTCTAAAAATAGGAAAAAATGCTTCCAAATTTGACTGAATCCGTGGCGTGTGAGTCCCCGAGTTGTTTGCTAGTTAGATAAGGGCACATTCACAGCTCACTGTTCTCTTGGGATGTGCGGTGTCGTATGGAAACGGAAGGGTTGATTTAGGGTTAATTTGGCGAAGAGCATTATTCACAGAGCGATACATTTAATCCCGTACATCTTATTTTGCATTCTGGGATGAGGTGTGATTTGAGGGGTGTCAATCTCCAAACCTCCACTTAAAGAGTCATTGCAAAGATTTACGGGGTTCAAGTCGAGGTTAACATAATAGAGAACCAATTCAGTTCCAAAGTAATTAGGTATTGAAAACAGTTTCAAACGCCATTTTACTTTTGAGAAATAAAGATCGATTTTTATTGTTACTTTTCTTAATATTTGACATTTTGGTTATATGAGTAGGCCCTATACAGTAATCAATATGCGCAATCAGAGAGGTAGGCATTATACTTTGACATGTTCAAGAAATTAGTAATAATAACATTAAGACGATCGCAAAGACGTTTGGCATATACACCGAGGGCTAAATGAAGAGCATTTGCCATCACTCATTGGCATGTGCGAACATTACAGGCGTATTGGTAATCCAATCATAGCCAAAGCATCTAAAGTGATCGCGGCAGGGACTCGAACCCCGTACCTTGTGATCCACTATTCGATGGTTTCTATAAAGTAAAAAAAATGGTATGGTATGGTATGGTATATTTTATTTATTCACGGCTAAAAACAAAAATACAATTGTGCCCGCATTCAGCAAAAGCTGTTTTTCAACGAGGCCTTGATTACATATAATTAGAACAGAATATAAAACAATGAAAATACAATTTACAAACAAATATGCAAGTTATAATAAGTGAACATATTTACAGAAATTTAAGTACAAAATAGAATCATAGTGACAAAGTGATGGGAAAAAAAATATCTACGAGATGAAAGAAGTGAGCAAATATCTTGAATTTTACTAATCTCAATGTTGTAAGATTTAAAAACATTATGATTCTGATATCGTTGGGTAGGGTATTAAAATGTTTTGATGCATGGTATAATGGACTTTGTTGAAGAAAATTTGTGTGAGGTCTTGGAAGGGGGATTTGTGAATTTGCATAACGCAACATATAGCGTAATGTGCATTCCTCCCCTAACGAGGTTGGTCTAAGCCTTCTTAGAAATTAAATTGTGTTCCAAATTATATTTTCAGAGTAGACACAACTTCAACTCATGGGACATATCTTCACGAAACCGTTAATCCGAATGCAGCCTCGGAAGATGAAGGAGGGGCGAGTCCAAGCAGCGAAGGGCAACCTGGGTCTAGTAGTGAGTCTACATCAGAATCTGATGACGATAGCATTATAACAAGTAAGATTAAATGAGTATGAATGAAGTATCATGTTAATTTTAAGAAGTTTTACCAATACATTTGGCGTGTTAGAGCCAGTGTCATTTATACAAGGGGCCGGGTACTTGAAAAGAAGATTATGCGACCCCCTTTCCACAACGTCACTCACTCTATTGCCTTGGCTCTCATATTTCATCGACATAATATTTCCGATGCCCCCCCTCCCCCCATCGAGACCACTGCCCCTTAATAATTGGACCCACACTATACGTCATCATGTAGGCCTACAAGCCTACAAGCCTAAATAGTCAGTTCTAATGGGATTTAGTATGAGGAATGCGAGACTTTGATATTATTTGATCAACAAGTTCAGTGTTATCATTAATAAAAGAATTTGTCACTATTTAAAAAAATTTCTTTCCAGTTTACATTATAATTTCGTGCTACCGTCAATCGACCAATAAAATCAATCACACTTTCCATCTTTACAGGTATACCATCTGGAGACTGGTGCTTCCCCTACTCTGGCGATGACTACTCACCTGTGACCCGGGTCAACATTACCAATTTAGAGATTGAAATGAAAGAGCTCAAGGAGACACTACGACAGGTGGAATTCGAAAGAGATACAGCGCTAGAGAGATCCCATCAGGTAATGATTTTAATTTTAATTGAGCTAAATCCGTACGAAGCTAGTAAGCAAATGTAAGCATAGAAGGACAAATTAATAAGTTTAAAAGGGGTTAATATAAGATTATACATAATACTTTATTGTAAATTTATAGCAGTTATATTACAACAAATAAAAGCAAGCAAAGAGAGAGAGAGAGAGAGAGAGAGAGAGAGCGAAAGAGCGAGAGAAGGAGAGAGGGAGGGGAGAGGAGAAGGAGAAAAGGATGATAAAAGGGGTGGGGCACAGACAAACGAGAGAGAGAGTCAGTGAAATAAATAACGAGAAAGGAGCAGCAGAGAGATAACAAGAACAAGTAAAAGAAAGAGAGAAGAAGACAGTTTGAGAAAGAAAAAGAATGGGAGAAGGTTTGAATGATATGCACACGCACACCCACGCGCACACATATTCACACACACCAACACACATATAAATATATAGAGAGGGATAGAGAGGGATAGAGAGGGATAGAGAGAGAGAGAGAGAAAGGGGGGGGGGTTAACATAAGGCATGAACCCATGAAAGTTCTATGTTTGGAAGGATTTTCCGTTTGTTTGCTTCTTTTTTTATAGAGAAAAAAATGCATCTTGAATTGGTTTTGCACAAAGCAAAATGTCCAGAAACAAGCTTTATTCTAAAGTATTTACATCTAGATTTGTAGCCAGTATTATTGAATAACATAATGAAGGCGACAAAGTAAACAGCGAACCATTATCAGAGAGAGAGAGAGGGGGAGAGATAGATAGATAGAGAGAGAGAGAGAGAGAGAGAGAGGATGATATGATTGGTACACCAACTAATTATATTCTCTAATAATTAGCCTCGCCTCTATCTCCACTTTATACGGGTAAATCTAGCCCCGGGCGATTGATCTAATAATGATATGAATACATGGAATCTGGATACGTTGTGTGAATTCAGTGATACCACTAATATGTGATTATGGTCTCCAGCACGGGTTTGTTTTCTAGTTCGTATCCTCAAGGCAAATATGAGTCAGGTAAGGCAGGCTTTCATTCGGAGAGTATTAGCCTCAAGATAACAATAACCGCTTGTTTGCCATCGGAAACCCCCTCGGATCATATCCAGAGCGAGACCCAGGGATGGATGACTAACCGTCAATGCCCGTTCAGCGGACACTACCGAGAGGAATTCAGAATGCAATTTTCTGGTTAACTTATTCTATTTCATGAAGGATTCTTGTACACCTCATTTCACGTGCCTCTCGAGGTAAACAAATATTGTTGATTGAAAAATAACGATAAAGTATAGGCAGTATTTAAAAGTTATTGTTCTATTATCAAAAGGATATTAAGCGAAAGGTAAATGCACTTGCATTTGATTACAAACAATCACAGAAAAGAATAGTAGACTAGGATTTTTTATTTTGTGTTGACAGGTTAACTTCAAACCAAATACTTTTTAAAAAAAGACGAAATAAAAGACAAAACAAAAACTGAACGAAACAAGGCAAAATTAAAACAACAAAGTGAAACAAATGGAAACAAAACAAATTAAATCTAAATAAGACCAAAACAAAATCATACACACACCCTCACATACACACGAACACACACACACACATACAAAATAAAAACAGAACTAAAGAACATTCGCTATTGATTTTCTCTTTGCATTAAAGTTGGCGATTGATCTTGATGTCGAAAGCCGTGGTCGTAAGCTAGATCGACGTCGTTATCTAGACGACATAACTTCCTTGGAATCTGACAGGGTCCGCTTATCGACGATGGAAGAAGAATTAGGTGATGTCATCGTTCTGATCATGCACCTTCGAGACATGGTGAGTGATGGTCGCTGACTACGGCATTCAGACCACAAAGTCATGAGTGGGAGAAGCCGAGTAGGAGGAAAGACGGTCAATGATAATGATGATATTGATGATTATCATGATGATATGACGAAGATGTGATGATGATGATAGGAATAATAGTAATAACAATAGTGATAAGAGTAGTAGTAGTAGTAGTAGTAGTAGTAGTAGTAGGAGTAGTACTACTACTGAATTATTTATTTTAAAAACGTAAATATTATGATCTCTCCCTGTCCCTGCATTCAATCATTCCAACACTATCAAAGCAGAAATGGATACCGATGAACATAATCTGTGCTGAAAAGACATCACCTGCAATAATGTAGGACGAGGTGGTGGTGGTGATGGGGCAGTGGCATTGGCTCAAACTATAGTGTAGCTCTTCTTTGAAGGGCCATACAATAAATACTTAGTGAAACTTGCTATGGGATACAAGAAAGGGGATGCCAAGATAATTGACTGAACCAATGTCTTGGGAGAATGCCGCCCTTCTCTTTTTACCGATTTCTGAATACGCCACTGGGGGTATACACAGCTAAGTACATGGTTTAAAATCAATGATAGTTCAAATCAATTATTGATAGTTAACACAATTTATGCAAACCTGCCTGATTTGCACTTTGATTTTATCTAAGGCTTAAGCATTTTTGATCAATTCAATTTTTGCGAGTTTTCGATATTAGCCATTGCTCCTTCAAGTGTAATATATTGCCTATACATGTAATGCTATCTAAAGGAATAGACCCTCCCCCGTAATTTCAGTTAAAAAATCATGCATATAAAATGTTCATGATATTCAAATTTTTGAGGGTATTTTCTAAGTGTGTGTTTTTTTGTATCCGAACTGTATAAACCCCCTTTTCCGTTTGATATCTCCACATGACTCAAACTAGTTTGATGTGGAGAACAGCAATAAATGAAATAAATAGAAAATGGTTACGTGTGCAACAGCTATCATTTTCCTATTTTGGTTCGAAGGAAAATTTTGGACATCAGTGAAAGGCTCAACTCATTTGCTATAACACTATAATTACAATCATTATGAGATCTTATAACATGCGTGATTGACTGTTGTTTGTAATTGACCACTCAATAATGATATTGACAATGACATACACTGAAGTATGGAATAAGCAGAATCCCATTAGGAATCTACATCTCCCTTTATTTTCACGTTAACAGAATTTTTCAAAGCGGTCAGTCGGGAAAATTCTCTTCGACGCAATCAGCGAGAGCAACTTTCATTCGGGAATGGAAGCACAGGACAAACTAGGTATGATTTCAGTTAAACTATATTGATGACAATGATATGATGATATTGGTTATTTATATAGCGCACATATCCACCATGCGAGGTGCTCAAGGCGCTCCAACGTTACTCCTGCTCCGCTAGACAGCCGATTGCGACGCTCACAGCATTCAAGGAATTTTGTTTGGTAAAACCCATGAAAAGGAAAAAGGAAAAAGAAAGGAGCAAGAGTAGGAGGAAAGGAAGAAGAAGAAGAAAAAGAAGAAGAAGAAGAAGAAGAAGTAGAAAAAAGAAAAAAGAAGAAGGAGAAGAAGAGAAGAGAAGAGAAGGGATAGAATGGGGAAATAGAGAACGGTGGGAGGGAAAGGGAGAGAAAAGGAGCAAGCAAAGATGTAATGAAGGGAATAAATATCGAGATAGAAAGACATAATATTATAGGACGAGAGAGAGAAAGAGAGAGAGAGAGAGAGAGAGAGAGAAGGAGAAAGAAAGAGAGAGAGAGGGATGCGAAGTGAATGAAAGACATGTATAATATAAAGGTATATAAACGGTAATTATATAAAATTCGATTATTGGAATCGGCGGTTGAAACATTATACATTCTGTCGCAATAAGTAATCATTTTTTTCTTCTTATCAGGAAATACAACTGTAAACTTCATTCACAGCCTACACCAGGAGCTTCTCCACTGTGACGTCATATCAACGAATGGTAACCTGAACCCATCTCAGGCATCCACTACCATTGGAAGCAACCTGCCTGCAAAGAATGGCGTATCCTTGAGAACGCACTTTTACCAGTTCAACGGCGACGAAAATATACAGGAAGATTGCGACCCCCCGAAAAGACCTAGCGGCTTTCCAGTCGACTTGATAAAGAGTGGATTTGAAATGAAATGTTGAAATTCCAATCATTGTTAATGAGAAGGTGTAGATAATATATTGTGATTGCATTTGTTAAGAATGTCATTTGTAGCAGAATTCTAAATCATTATGTTGTCATTTTCTTCCGTATCAATCTATTCCTTCTATGCCTTGGGCTGATGCAGCAGCCTTCTAAATGATGGCCCACATACACAAATGCAGTGAAATAACTTGTAAAAAAACTATGTTACTTATTGTCCATCTGCTTCATTTTACCATACATAGTAAGCTTACAGGGTGTATTAGAAAGAAAAAAAACATTGTCTCTGACTTCATTCAAAGTTTTGTTTGTTTCAGTTTTGTCAGAGCACGTGAAGCTGTTTGTTTCACCAATCTCTATATCCATCTCAATATTTTGAATAAACTTCTCTTCTATTTAGTACAACTGATTATATCTTTAAATTACATGATCATTCAGGTACACTAGTCATATTGGTCTTGTCAGCAAGCTTTACGATTTGTTAATATCCTAATAATGACTTTGTATTGGTGGCTGAAGTAGTAATGGATTTGTCTTTTTGTAATGTTGTAAATACATCAAATTTACCTCCTAGTCCATATATTGGCACCTTAAAGGGACTTGGTAACATTGTTCAGATGATAAATAGTGGTGCTAAGGTAGTGACTTCAATGCTAGATGTACAATTAAAGATAATCTGACAATTTGAGTGGAAACGGACCATTATTCATGGTACAAATTGGGAGAAACTGATCTGATCGATTCCTTAATTCTCCCAACTATATTATTACAATTTAATTACATTTTAGGTGAATGGAAATCTCACAAAGCAATAAATGGCTCTACATTCCATTCCAGACATTTAAGTGTTGACAGATTTTTTATAGCCTGTTTTATGTCTTTTTTTCATGGAAAAACGGTTGGGAAAATTCAAAAATGGTTGAGAGAATTTACTGTTAATCACTGTTAGAGGGTGTCATACATCGACGCCTTCAAAAAAAAACACCTAGATATCTTTGTGGTTTGAGAATTTTTTCAGGATTTTTTGCATGTCAGAGGGTAGTACAGAAAAGGAATATAGTAAGTAACATTTAATACAAAAATTAAGCAATTTTTTTTCATCAACCTTCAACAATGTTACCAAGTCACTTTAATATCCCCTCCTCCATTCAGTTGACCGTTATTGCTATTGGATAAATACAATCGGCTCAGTGATACCTATTGGACCAAGTATGTTTGCCAAATGTTTTCGCAGCCTATATTGGTATATAGTGAGTTTTAGTATTAGTTCCCCTCTACCATAAATTAGATTCAAAGGGCACATTAATAATGACTTTTTTTAGTTCTGAGCTCCTAAAGTTGGGTATACTTGTTTTGATGCACACTGTATGATACTAGCTGCTTAGCTTCTTGTTGCAAAAGGCAATAAAATCTTCACACACACACAAAATTGACAACATTTCGAAAGAACAAAAAAAGAAAAAGATTACCTTGATTGAAAGAAATCTAAAGAGCGTTGGTGGTAGGCGCTCAAAAGCATGTTAGCGGAACAGGTCTTAAAGAGTAAAATTACAATGGAAACTGAGGGAGTTAAAAATCCATTAACCTAAAAAGGCCGGGCTATTTGAGGTCTTAGAATTGCCGGGGGGCATTATGGCCCCCCCCTTAAGATCTCGGCCGCGAAGCGGCCGATCGCCGCGAAAATTTGCACGCATGTAAAGTGAAGTGTATAGAATAATATGATAATTATATGATCATTTGCATATTTATGGTAATTTATGCAAATAAAGTCATAAAAATCTAGCCAGCTTATTCCTTATGTTATCTTTGTTTTGATAATTTCTTATGTATTTCATTGTTTTTTTAACTTATGTATTTCATTGTTTTCGTTGTTTTTATTTATTTCTTATAAGACCTTGTAACCGTAGGTCCGATTTTCAAAAAAATTCTTTTAAAAGTTGCGCAAGACTCGAAAGAAAAAAGTCAGCGAGCGGCGGGCGCCATCCATATGCGTTCCCGATCAATCGGAAAAATCGTGGAGTGGGGCATAATGCCCCCCGGCCTTATTAGGGTTAAGCAGGGCTCCCACTTAGCTGTACGGATTACCAACGAGTTATCAAGATCTTTGGTATTGGTATTGGTATTTATTTTCCATATCACAATATTAAAAACAATACAAAGAAAATGCATGTACATAGTAAAGTCAATAGTATAGTGAATGGCTGGATAACCCATTTAGCTTTGTTAGTATAACAAAAAACTTTTCTTCCCTGGGGAAAATGGGAACTTGTCGATGGAAAAGGGGCACTTGTCAAAATAAAAGGGCACTTTTAAGAGGTGAAAAGGGGTAGGGGCACTTCTACAAATTAATAGGGGCACTAGTCAAAGATAAAGGGGCACATTTCGAGTACTATAATAAGTGGGGGCACTGCGCCGCCCCGCCCCCCCCCCCCCCCCCCCCCCCTGCACCCCTCCCTGCTCTCCTACCCCCCGGAGAGGGCTGCCTCTGATTTTGGCGCTCTCCAAAATAAAGATGGATGCCAGAAGCATATTTGCTCGATATGTTGGAGGAAGAACAGGCCTGGATCCTCTGCACAAGTATGCCAGCTGACGTACCATGGTGCGTTCGTCATGCCCGTCATGATCGCCCTGCACTCTGCTCATGCTCATACGAAACTCGCCGTAAATCCCCGTACTCGATCTAAACTCGCGTTAATACTCTTGGAAACTCGAATAGCACTCGCGTATACTTGAAGGTGACGAGTTGCTATGAGTTATGAAGAGTGCAGTGCAAGCTTGTTACGAGTACTGCGAGTATATTACAAGTGTAAGCAAGTTCACCTCGAGTTACGAGTCAGTGAAAATTTTGAACATGTTAAAAATTCTGGAACTGCTCCTGACTTCGAGGAGAGCCCTGGAATGTTGTAAAAAGTTACACCGAACCATACCGAGTTGTCGCGAGTTATCCCCGAGTTACAAGTAGAGCTATTCGCGAGTATTGCGAGTGCCTCTTTGAGGCAACTCATTACAACTCGTCATAACTCGCCAGTACAACTCGGCTAAGTGGGAGACGTGTATCAATGCGATACGATGCTCATCATTTAGCCCAGACTCAAGTTTCAATCCGGGGTCCGATAAGAGTCAGTTTAAAAAGTAACATTCACGGATATGACCGCTAGACCAACTAGCAATTCCCTAAAAAAAAAAGTGGTATGAAGTTTCATATTCAACAAGGAAATTTTTCTTTCTGGACCATTTCTTCGTTCTAGAACTGTAAAAAAAAATGCCATTAAGATCCTTTTTATTGAGTCTTTTTTTTTGTAACCGTTATGTCGCAAATCTCTGTTATTAATTTGTAAAAACAGAGGAAATCGTTTCCTATTTATTTCCTATCTTTTTGCAAGAACAAAATGATATTTCTCTCGATCTCTCTTCAAGACCATTCACTCACTCTCTTTCTGTCCAAGTACCTCATTTTAATACACAAACAAACCAGAAAATTGTATTTATCAGCACCATATCGTACATTTAATTTGATTTTATTGTTTGAATCAACAAGTGACAGTTAAAATAATTTAAAATGTCATATTTATTCTTTTGTACAGTATTCAATATTTATCAAATTAATAATAAATGAAATAGATAAATAAAGTACCTATACTATACATTGTATACGCATTTAATACACGAAAAAGCATAGAACTAAATGGTATAAATGTTATACCAACCTACAGGGCACTGAATTGGATTTGGATTGGTTTGTCTTTCAAGGAAAGGTTCATTTTTTCTTTTGATTGGAATGTGTTCAAATAAATAAGACATTTTTGGAATATTCAAATATAAAAGGAAAAATGCTCCTCAGATCAAGTAAGTGTTTTTGGTTGAGAAGGGGATTCTGTTGTCATTCTAAGAAGGAAACGTGTGGAATGACAAAGTCGGAGAACATGTTTTGACAGAATTTGGAATAAAGTTATGATATCCATGTAATGTCATATTCCCGATGTTGTGTATTCACATCATCTATACTGTAGAATAATAATCAGTTTAATTCATGACAAAAACAAGCCTAAGTGTGATTGAAAGAGAGATTTTTTTTGTAGCATTTTTTAAATTGTATTCATTCAGTACAAAATATATTATAAAAAACATACAGTTTCATTGATTTACATAACATATCAAAATATAAAGAAAATTGTACAACCCTCAAAAATATATAAGATAGTTTACTACACAGTACATAATGTTTTCAAATTAATTATACTGAATGAATATTATAAATCAAAGCCTTACGCACAGACAGACAGACACACACTAACAATACTAACTGGTCCATCATCAACGACCCAATCATCTCTCGATGATCTCACTCAGTCTCAATAGCTCTGAATCATTTTCTCTCTCCCTGTAACTCAACCAACTTTTTGTCTCTCTTTTTGTATTTCTCTTTCCTTCTCCCTTTCTCTTCCTTTCCATCTCTTTCTCTTTCTCTCTCTCTCTCTCTCTCTCACACACACATTCTCTTTCTTTTCCTTCCTTTTCTATCTCTTTCTCTCTCGCTCTCCCTCTCTCTTTCTCATTTCAGCTCTTTCTTTCTCTGAAGTTTGCCTTCTCCATCTCAGGGGTTTTAAGGCATTTAATCACGGTCAGAAGGAAAAAGGAACACTTATTTTGTGTGTGCTTTCTTTAGCACCAAAAACAAATAAATTCATGGCTGATTGTCAACGAAACGGAGTTAAGTCTGTTGTCAATTCTGCTTGTTGCTACGACAGGCAGCAAGTGAAAACGAAATCGTTTGATAAAATTATGGAAAAACAAGCACTATTTTAAACAAACAGAACTTTGTCATTCCTTGCTCATGTTTCCTGATTGAGGTGTCATATGAAAGGGCAGGAACTCAACTTTCTAGAAATGTGATTTTCTCTTTGAAATTCAGATACCGTCCGCCAAATGACTTTATGGTGTACTCTCTTCAAATTCATTTTAATAAATCATGCGTGAAATATGCATCATATGAGTTGCATCAAATGAAAGATGAGGATCTAAGCTTTCCAAATATGTGTCATTTATTAATTATAAATGTGACTAAGTTATGATAAAACATCGATAATTCTCGGTTTCGTTTTTCTGGGACGCACTGTATAAATATATATATATATAGAGAGAGAGAGAGAGAGAGAGAGAGAGAGAGGAGAGGATGAGGCATATGCAAAGATGAAATTCAGGTATTCATTCATTCATTCATTTAATTCACATCTTAAACGAAACTCGTCTCCTCTTCACTATCTTACAGTTGTGTATTCACTCCATTCACTCGGGTTCCGAAGAGAAAGGTTTTCATGTTCGTATCACGGAATTGCCAATATTCCCAGCCCTTCGTTTCCGGGTTCCAATTAAATCACTGAATGATTTATTTAATCTAATATTTAATTCTAAGCTTCTTTCCAAATCAGCGGAAAATAACACACGAAGTCTCAAAAGTTTGGTTTGGTGCATGTTGGGTTTAATTTTTTTTATCACCATGCAAGGGTTAAAAAAAAATCACTAAAGGTTTGAGTTTTGGTGACAGAGATCTCCATCTGACAACATTGGACTATATAAGGCATCGTTGTGCATTCTCCAGTGTTCTAGGAAAGGAAGAAACCTTGGTTA